ACGATTCCAGCCCTGTCTTTTGCGGCGACGGCGACGGGCGACAGACGAAAATGCTCGTGGCCGCGCACTGCCGCAGTGCTGCAAGTTCCGACTAGAGAACGGCGAGCTGTCATATGACAGATACTCAGGGTATGCATGTCTGAAGACTGCAGGTGTGGCTTTGGGACCGTGCATGGCTCGACGCTTGCGCACACAGGCGGTCCGCACGTCTGCAATGACATGAGCGACCCCTGAAGCCGACTGCCATGCGGATCCTACCATCACCAGCTCCTCACAAGCGGTAAATTCAATGGATCCTTGGGTGATAACTCGCGGGTTATACCCGCCCTCTCCCATCTTCTTGGGATTTCTGGAGGGTTGCCACTTTAATCCGCTGTCCCCCTCGCCCCCAGAGGGCCGACACTCAGCAAACTTGATAGTCCCGTCCCATCGCTGCATGACATCGTACTACTCGCGCCGCGCTGCCGTTCCTGCAGATAGCACTCAACCAGTCCACGCCGGATTAGCGCTCTGTGCAGCATCGCCGTAGGGGCCCGCAATTGAACCCTTGGATTCCTCCATCGAAGCTGCCGGACTTCTTCCACTGCATATCGGATCGCCTCCCTGCACCCAAAAGCAAACATCACTTCATGTCCTGTCAGCGCCGGCCGGTGGCAGCACAAGACGTGCCATTCGACAACACTCTACCCCATGTGGCCATTGCCATTGTAGCGCCAACGAATACCGCGATTCAGTCTCCACCATCGTATCTCTAACTTTACTGAGTCGCACCCACGCCCGCACCACAGCCACCAATCTCTCTCTGCCCACTCGCGGCTGTCCCAGGCATCATGGCTCGCGGCGACCGCGGACCCAAGAAGTTTTCCTTCCCACTGCCTCGCCGCTCGCGATCCAAACTTGACGTCCACGACGTCCACCCTGCCCCATCGATACCCTCTGGCCCCGAGAAGCCCTCCCGTCACGAAGACACGTCCAGCAAAGCACATCGAGTACTGGGCACGTCCGATGCCCTGCATCGCTCGACATCAAGACAGTCGACAATCCCACCAAGTCCTGGTTACATGTCCATTACCGTATCCGAGGCTAGTTTCGGCTCTCACATCGACGAGAGAAACTCGCAAACAGGCACGGAGAACAGTGGACACCCGAAACGACCCAGCATGTCAAAACGACCATCGTCCAACGTCCTGGGACGCACCTATACTGGAGAAAGTAGGCAGGGCTCTGACAACGGTTCCGTCACTCACCGGCTACACCCACAAACGTCCAACTCGACCCTGAGATCGCACTACGACGCGAAGAGTTCACCCCTGTACATCTCACAGCAAACCTCCGATTCGGCAGTCCGAGATAGAGCGTTACGAAGAGGACAGCCTCCAGTATTGACGGACCATGGTTACGACAACTATGATGCCAGTCCACTATCCCCTGCCATGCTAGATGAAACGAGGAAGAAGGAATACCGAAAAAGTAAACCTGCCCGCCTGGATCTTTCCAAACTGTTCCCCAAGCCCAAGGACAACAGTGATGGACCCAACTATGGTACATTGCTTTCGCCAACCAAGATGGTGAACTCACCGGCTGCCATGTCCATGAACTCGGAGTACTTCCCTCACCCGATGACGAGGCACCCGACTCCACAAGCAGGACCTGCCAAGCTGCAGAAGCCTAACGTGAAGTATCAGAATCCTCCAACAAGGACTCCCGCAAGTCCAGTACGCAAAGTCAAGAGGGATCAATATGACAATGCGAAGATACATGTACGACGACCACCAAAAGGCGTGCAGCATTGGTTTGATGCGCTCGACGAGGAGAGCGAAGACAGCCAGGCGGAAGAAACACAGCAGCCACATGACGATGCTATATATTCAGATCTCAAACCTGTTGTGCCAGACCATAGCTATACCGCTGGTGAGCCCTCGCGAGGCAGAAGTGCATCAAACTACAGTCGTCGATCGCAGGATCCCACACCAGCGTACAAACGGGACAGCTTCGCGCTCGAGGACATTGTTGACATTACTCATCTAACCTCACCTAGCCAGTACTCAGTAGACACGTATCGAACGTATTCTACGTCAAAGACTAAAGAGTCTGCCCTTTCCAAGACCAACCTTAAAGACTCTAGCGTCTTGTCCTTTTCGTCATCTGAAGACGAGAGCGACAACCGGTCACGATCTCGCAAGGGCAGCGTTCGCAAGAGCTTGGACAGTGGCGACTACACAGGGGAGATTGTTATTGGACGAGCACAGGCATATGAAGTTCGCCCACACCGTCGTGGGCAATCATCTGGAAAGATGAGCACACTCTCGACATCTACAACGGCCACCATGGAAGTGATGTACATGCCGGAGCCGCCACCTCTCCCATCGTATCATTATCCTCGAAACAGTACTCACAGTGGCGGTAGACGGATAAGCCACGTGAGGCAGCCTTCGGTCATTCATGAACACGAAGATTCCCGCCCACAGACTGCTGTTACCACACCAGTGTCGCCTACGGCACATAGCGTTGTGAGTGCGCGCACGTCAGCAAGTGCGCCACAGCCCCAATCGGAAGGGTCGCGCAAATATATGCAAGTGACGGCAGAAGAGGAGGCTTTGCTGGAGCTGATGAGAAAGAAACGCGCAGCTATGAACAAACAGAGCGCATCGCAGGCGCCCATACGGGAACAAGAGAAGCAGCTCAAGCCGGCAGCGGAAAGGTCTCCACCACACCGCACGTCCGCCTTTCTTTCAACAGATTCTCGGGAGTCAAGTCATGTAAGATCCACTGAGACCAGGTCCAAGCACCGGGCATCTGCAGGTACATCTTCGTCGCTTGCGCCATCACGTGGCAGATCCTCGACGACTGAAAGCCAGGCAAATACCAGCCAACTCCGCGATAGTTCCGTAAGCGACACATGGTCAGACCGCAACTACTCTCCTGCCAGTCGAGGAAGGCTGCCGCACCACTTCCCAATGCCCTCCGGGTTTTCACAAGTGGATCCGTTCCCGCCTACTTCCCCAACACTTGCTGCTAGCATAGCATCACCCACGACTACTGACCACCCATCACCTCTGCCCTCGCCAATGACGCCCGCACTTTACACTGACGACCAGGACGTAGTCAAGGTGGCGAGCAGTGATACCAGTAACGAGCTTGAGGAATTCCCTATGCTCGATCAAGGTGTCATTAGTTCACCGCCAGAGAGAATGAAAGATGAATCATTCCATCGCCGCAGTAGGACTGCATCCAGTCCCACGGCAATCTCATTCCCGGTACCTCCCACGTCTACTGGTTTTAGAGATTTGGCCCCAGTCTCTGAAGCCTCGTCTCGTGCTCCTAGCATCATCGAGCCACCAGTCCCGAAACCCTCAAAGAAGGTCGCCCGACACATAAGTGAACTGGCGCTCGCGGGCGCCGAAACACGAAATCGACAGAGCAGCATTCACTCTACCGGATCACGTACGTCTGTTTACTCACAAACGTCAAGCTACTACAAGAGCGCTAGCACAAGAAGATCACGCCACCTGAGTCCAGATGACAACATCACGAGTAGCCCAAGGATGACGAGTAACGATCGCGACAGCGTCAGTGACGATGTTCTGGCTGCCTGGAACAGTTTAGGAGGGACCTACTAAACCTCCGCATCGCTTTCTTCCTTTTGTCTCGTCACACTGCATTACCACACTATGATACGATTCCTTTCTAGCATTTACATTATTCCACTTTCTGCGGTATGATACCCCCGCATCATACGTTTCCGCCGCTTTCTAGCTCGGCCTACTTAACTTGTAAACCTAAAGTCGCCATTTGCTACACGATTTTCTATGTCGCTTTTTTCACTGCATTGCGTTATCTGGTATTCCGGCACTAAATGCCTAGGTTATTATTGTTATCATACGAGGATGGGCTAGGTGACGAGGATAGATAGGCGGATCTTTAGCATAGAAGTTGTGCATGCAGTAAGCACGACAATGTAATTCACATGACAATCCAACGCAGACGAGCTGAATCATGGCGGTGGTGTGTTGGCAAAGTCGATCGTCATTGTTCCACATCCATGCATTCATGCAATTTCCCCTTTTCCGTTTACTTTTTTTGGTAGCACAGCACCTGGCTCGTGCACGTCGACCCTATCTCGCTTCTGCATGCAGACGCCAAACGAGAATGAAGTGGCTTTGTTCATGCAAGGAGAACGCAGCCAGCCGCCTGCCTCCGGTACCGTTATACTGGGAAAAGGAAAGTGGTGTTGAGGCATGGTTGGGCAACCTTGCTTTTTTGAGAATTGCGGTGTGGGTGGGCCGACGTGGGTTTGTGTGGCTGCAAGGGCGATAAGTAGTTCTTTCTTTTCACATTTATTCGCCGGGTTGCGGAGATAGGGCTGGCTGAACTTGCTTTGGAATGAGGGGGTGGAGGGGTAGGTGGAGAGGATGCTGTTGACGATGATCGTTTAGATTGTGTTGAGGTGGGTGTTTGTACAGCTGCTTTTAGATTGATGACAGGCGATAACCATCTCCTCTTTGGCAAACTGGTGAGCGTGGGGAACATAATCGACCCGATTGGACCATAGTGTATCTGTCTGGTACTGCTATCTCAGTGGTCTTTTCCGAGAAAGAACTGCACATGCTGATTGTCCGTCAAAGAGCTACACATTTACCCATTGGCCGCAAGACCCGAGCCGCAGCATCTCAAACCCTGTAGTATGAAACACCATCCTAGTGACACAAGGGTTATACTGGTCCTGATGTATAAGTCTTCTTGCTACTATTGCATTATCAGTACGAACGAGGGCTCTACGAAAACACTGTAGAGGCATGTTGCGAGGAGAGACCTTCACTACAGCAGGTTCCAATCACTAAAAAGACTCAGTATTCGATGGCGGTGGTATTGTTGTGTTCAACCTAGAGTTTTCATAACGTCATATAGTCCATAAAAGGCAGGTACTACCCTGCTTCCTGCCGTCTGTTTGATTTCCTCACTTTGCAACCCCACGAGCCAAAACACGTCCAAGTTCCCCTCTAAGAATGCTGGATATGTACAGCAACACCGCCCTGGGGAATATACGCAGTTCCAGAAACAGTGTTGTCACCGCGTGTGCAGCGGTCCATGATAATACCGCCCGAACGCGCAATATCGTTGCTAAACTCCAAGTCAGCACACTCCATCTAATACAATATCCAGTTAGGGAACTTACCAGTTCACGCTCGTAGGAGCATTAGTACCTCCCCTTACGGTAACGATATGGGCACTTCCAATGCTGCACTGCACAGTACCTCCGATACTGCTAACATCGCAGTTCTGACCCGCCTTGCCGCGTCCAGCCAAGTCGTTGATACAAGACACTGCGTCGCCAACGGATGGAGGGAACGAAGTAAGCTGTTGGCAGTTTGCAAATTCCTGACGCTTGGTAAGGTCTTCGGGGTTCTCGGCACCGGCCTCGAAGGCGGCGAGAGCTTCTTCGGTGGTAAGGGCTGTAGATGGGTCGGCAATTAGGCTGTCGACCCAGTCTACCCAGGAGAAGGAGGACTTGATGTATGGGGATGTGTCGGTAGGAGGGGAGTCGGGGGATGGTATAGCGGCGCCCAAAGCGGTGAGCGAGAGGGTAGCGAGGATGGTAGTGGCCTTCATGGTGTGCGATTGGGTATTACGAGAGGACGGGTATTATAGGACGTGACGATGGTGGTAGTAGCCTGAGTAGTGTGGTACCAGATAGAGACGGCTTTCATCTGGTATTTATATCGTTCCAACTTCCATGTCCCCACAGAATACTACATAGCACCATCAGGCATCCAAGGCTAACCTTCACTCAGTTGCAAATACCTCACCGCTCTGGCACAATCGTAAGATCGGGACAATACGAAGGAATACGGCGAGCAGCTACAAGAGTAACGGCATGTAGTTCTTCTCGGGAAAGGCACCACGCGGCCAATGGGAGCAGATGTCTTTACACTGGAGAGGGAACACAGCCACGGGTAATACCACATTAGGCTTCCCATTCAGGTACCGCGGACAATTGTAAGCTGGCAGCTCACATTACTCCCCCCACAGTACCTTTAAGGCCACCCGTATGCAGGGGAGGAAAGACTGCAAGTGGAGACAACGGAAGCCACCCGCCCGCCTTCTAGCTTTTTCAAGATGACTACTTCGGAAGACACGGATGCTGCCTTGAAATATGGGGCCAGAAGAGAAGATGTGTGAGCCTTGATATATGTGCCAAGATCAGTCTGCGAAGAGACATGTTTGATCAACTGGCAGCCTGAATGAGGCTGTACACGGCAGCTCGTGAGGATAGTAGAGGATAGGTCTTGAGACGATGGGGTCCGCACAAAAGCCTTGGGAAAAGTGGAGACGCTAGCACCAATTATCTCTGAGGCGTCCTACACGTTTTAAAGAAGACCAGCGTCGCGTATTCAGGTCCGAGTACCATCACTAGCGCTACGACGTTGGTCAGTAGTATGTTTCGTAAGAGCAGGAAGCTGTCAACACGCATCACCAACGTAGAGCCATCTCAACAAACGTAATTCTCTGGCTGCAGGCAGCGACAAGTCTATTAACCTAAAGAGATGAAGCCAAGGCCATGTATGTTCGTATGCTGATGCCAAACAACAAGCAAAGCACATCGTATACATTACTTTTATATGCATATATGCTTTCCATAGTGGTAGAAACGCCAGTATAGATTGTGGTCGATGCCCAAACTCCGCGTATAATGCGTCGATGATACGGATCCAGAAGGTGAAAAAGTGGGTATATAGAAATACAACGGTGATGAAGTGAAGCGCAAAAACAGTGGTGCGATCAAACGAATTCGTGCTATTGTGGTGTCGTCATGGTCCTTGAGAGATTAGAGCGTTGTGGCATCGCATCTTTCCGTAGCTGACGAACGACTGCTTCAAGCTTCCGTCGTTCTTCTTGTTCCGCCTGTATATCGTTAGTATACCGTAGTACAATGATAGGGCGTTACTCACTCTCAATGCCTTTAGGCCCTCCGCTGTTCGATCCCGCATCATCTTCCTGAAGTCTTCTCTCAACATGCGAATGCTAGTCGCACCCATGTCAAGCTGAGCAGCAGCGCCATTCGGCATGCCTGGGCTCCTGACTCCAAGCCACTTGACCTTCTCGTCACTGAGTTCGCGCTCCAGGGCTTCCTTGTCGTCGCGGAGCTTGTCGATCTGCCCTTCGAGGACTTCACGGTCCTTCTCGTTCTGGATAGCATCACGAGTGAGGGCTTCGTACTCAGCAGCCATGCCTTTGAGCTCGGCCTTGAGATTACGCTCAGATTGGCGGGCCTCAGCTTCGGACTGAGAGGCAACGTCTTGGACCTTGCGAAGCGCTTCCAGTTCACCCAGGAGCGCCTGGTTCTGCTCGGCGAGCTCATCCAACTCCCTCTTAATGGCGGGATTTGCAGCCGAATCGGCAGCACGTTGTGCGCGAGTACCGTAAGCGCCGTCAAGCTCTGCTTTGGCAAAGGTAAGCTCAGTGGTGAGACGAACGATCTCGCCTTCGAGGCTGCGGAACTCTTCTTCCTTTGCGTTCAGAGTGTTGGTGGCGTCCAAGGAGCGCGCCTCTGCCTCCTCCTTCTCGGCCGTCACAGCCTGGAGAGCTGCTGTAACCTCTTGGATCTTCTGCGCAGAGGTAGTTAGTTCGGCTTGAATCGTTGCCGCTTCACTACGGGCACTGTCTTGAGCGTCCCTGAGTTCTCTCTCCAGCTTGAGAGCTCGTTCCTGTGCATCCCGAACCTGAGCTTCGTAGCCAGCGGTGCGATCCTCTGCCTCTCTTGACGAGACATTGTACGCGGTGTTGCGCTCTTGGTGATCCTTCAGTTCTTCTTCGAATGTAGCAGCGCGTTTCTCAGCATCTTGCATCTTGCTTTGGAAGTTTACAGCCTGCTCTTGCACGTCCCTCAGTTGATTTTCGTACGCGACAGCACGTTGTTTGGCCTCCTTCAACTCAGACTCGAAAGCCATCACTCGCTCTTGAACGTTGATGAGCTGAGCCTCCAGACCTGCATTTCGCTCTTGCGTCTCGCGCAAAATCTGCGAGTCATTCTGAATCTTGTGCTCATCGAACTGCTGTAGCTGCTCCATTGCACGCTCGAGCTCACCCTCCATCGACTTCTTCTCGGACCTTGCACTGAGGACCTGCGTGTTGAGTCGCTCAAATTCTGCCTCTTTCTGCGCATCGGACTTGCTGTTTAGCTCACGTTGCTGCTTGATTTGGCGCATTAGGACGGACTGCTTGTCTTTGAGACTGGCTGCCCGGCTGGATAGCCACTGAACCTTGGAAGAGAATGCAGTAAGTGAGTATGTCTCGTTGGCATTGTAGTCCTCGTCCGGCGAGAGTTGCTCATTGGCATCAGGGTCTTCAGAGAGTAGTCGTCGTCGTTCACGTTTCCGTTCACGTGCCTCTTCTTCTCCAGCCAGAATCATTTGCCAAAGGCCCATGATGGTAGTCTCGTACTTCTCTGCCTTTTCCGCAGCTTCTGAACCATCACTGACAGTAACAGGAGCCCTGGAGCGGAGCTCGTTGATTTGCTCGTTCATCGCATACTGAATTTGCTCAAGGTTGTAGAAGGAGTCTTCCATGTAGTTGAGCTGTTCGGTGGAGCCACCTCCCGTGATGGCGGGTGGAGGTGGGAGTTTGTCGGCCTGTTCACTGTCGGATCGAGATATCACGGCATATAACTGATTGTTGATGCCCTCAAGACGGCCCTCGACTTCGTTAAGAGTGTGTCTCGAGTTGTTGCGGATGTTCATCTGTTCAGCGCTGATACTGCGAAGACCTTGATCGAGGAAATCGAGCTGGCGGTCCAGGGTTGTAGCGTCGGGCGTTCCTTCGAGAGCCAATGGCGGTAGTGAAAAGTCGTTGTCGCGCTCGGGATTGGCCTCAATGATGAGCGATCTTATACGCTCGTTTATCTCTTGGAGTCGTGCGGCAGTCGCGTTCAACGCTTGGTCTTGACGCTCCGACGCAGCTGTCAGATGTTTACCACTTTGCAGCACGTTCATAAGGTTGTCGAGATTCTCTGGGGACCTGTAGAAGCTCCGTTCATCGAACTCGCCTCCACGAATACCGCCCAATCTGCCGTCTTCGTAAGTGTTTAGGCTCGCGGGGCTGTCTGGTCTCCGGAACCGGTCCTCCGATAGCTCGGTATCGTCTTCACGGTGCTTGGGGCCCTTGTGGGTAAGCTGAAGTACAGCGGCAGTGTGCATCAGCAGTTGCATATCGATCATGCGCATGCGAGACTCAATCTCCAAGCACTCCCGTATAAACTCCTCAACCTTTCTGTTGCTTGATTCAAGGCCCTCTTGGTCCTTGGGGTCATATTCCTGCACGGCGTTACTGCCTTTGCTGCTTTTGTTGCTCTTGCTGCTCTGGCCGCGCTTGTGTCCGGCTTTCTTCTGGGCTAGTCGTCCCAGTGAGCGTGTCGCATCGCGAATCTTGGTCTCGGACTCTAGCTTCCGCCTGACAGTACCCAGCCGTGTGTCCAGACCCTTCTGCTCCTGCTTGAGCGCTTCTACCTCCTCCACGCTCAGAATATCGAAATATTGGCTATCTCCAATTGCCGTCTCAACGAGCAAATGCATGGCCACTGGGTCGGTGTTCAGGGCGTCGGAGCTTCGCTTGCCCGAGTTGCGAGGTGTGTACATGCCATTCTCGCGGATCGTCTCCCTGCGGCCGTCTACGAAGACTTCTGGGGGCGGGATGAAGGCACTGGCACCGAATCGTGGGGAGATCTGGTATGCCATGGGGAAGAAGCTCGGCGATGCAGTGCCATTGATGCCTGACTGGTAGTTTGAAGTTGGTGAGGGAAAGTCGTAGAGGGCGCGCGGGCTGAGTGTGTCCCCGACGTAGGGGTACTGGGTGCGTAAGCCATTGCTGGTCATGGTGGCTCTGGGGCGACGCGGCGACAAGACAAAGGGCGAGTCGGCGCGGTGGTGAGCGGTTGAGGTTCGGATGGAAAGCGCGACGGGGGCGCAAAGCAATAGTACTCGCGCAGCCAGCGGGGATGGTTGGCGCTCACGGCGAGCAGCTCGACATGGTCAATGAGAACTTGGAAACTTTGGGTCAGGAGAGACGTGCAAGCGTGCAAGCAGCACCAATACAGGCGCTACTCTGGTAGGGGATCAAGGTCAAGGGGTGCCCGCGACCCCTGCAATTCACTAGCCCCGCCGGTCTGAGCTCAGGGTTCATGCGCGCTTGGAGACATCCCTCCCCACCATCCCGCGCGACTCGCCCTCGTATTCGCTGAGACTCGCTGAGTAGTCCTGACGACACCATACTGGCGTCAGGTAGTGTGTGCCCCGCGCACGAATCTTTCTTCGCAATGCTTCAGGATCCTTCATCTGATTAGCCATCTTTTCAACGCATTCAACAAACATACGCCAATCGCCCCGTTCCAAATTCGGATCTGCGCTACTCCGCTATCGATAACGTCCGTGTCAGTCAACAACATGAGCGCACGCGCAACATACACCAAAGACCAAATAACAAAATACTTTGCCCGCCTGGGATTGTCGGAACAAAAGAGAAAATATGACGTGGCTGGTCTGGATCCCAACGACGCATTCGAGTACCTTGCGCTACTCCAAAAGCTGCAGCTAGCAGCGGTACCTTTTGAAAATATAACCCTGCATTATTCAGCCCACCATAGCGTATCTGTCCATCCTGAGGAATTATTCAGGAAGATCATTGGCGATGACAATGGACGTGGTGGGTATTGCATGGAGAACAACAGACTCTTCGGCACGCTGTTGAATTCGCTGGGATTCAATTTGTATTCTGGTGGCTGTAGAGTTTGGACCGGTGACAGTTGGACCGGTTGGTCCCATATGGTGAACTTTGTCACTATCGGTGACACCAAGTACCACGTCGATGTTGGCTTCGGGGCTGACGGGCCTGTCGTCCCAATGCCTCTTGAGCGCTCGGGTACCATCCAAAAGCACATTCAACCTGCGTCGGCCCGTCTCCAATGGCGCAACATCCCTGGGAATACTGACCCAAACCAGCGCCTCTGGGTTTACGAATACCGAAGAAATGACGATAGTGACTGGGAGATCAAATACTCGTATAGTGAGTTGGAATTTCAGCCACAGGACTACGCGATGATGAATTATTTCACTTCTACTAGCATGAAGACTTTCTTCACGCAGATGGTCGTGGCTGATAAGAAGATCATGGGCGATGACGGGGAACTAGTAGGAAAGCTGAGCCTGGCGGCCAAGTCTTTGAAATGGAATGTAAAGGGGGAAAAGACCAAGGAAATCGAGTTCAAGAGCGAAGAGGAAAGGATAGATGCGCTTGAGGAGTACTTCGGTATGAAGTTTGGAGACGCGGAGCGCGAGGGCATCGCGGGATTGCCATCAGAGATCAAGTAGAGAGAGCACTGAACGTTGAGAATTGTTGATTGCTTGCATGTCCCCACAACTGCCGTATATGCTGTGATCCTTTCGCAGCACGATGTAGTCACTATTGGGTATGTAATATACTGTGTGGGTATGCCAGTTCCGCTTTCGACGCGGGAAAGGCTCGCATCGCTTAGATGAATCGTTGCTCGCACTGCCCGTGGTTAGCACCTGCCGTTCATCCAGTATCTCCGTACCCACCCTCCATGGGTTGTTGAGCTCGAAGCCTTCCGGAGCAACCGGCTTGTCTGTCTGTCCGCGCATGAATCCGGTCAGTCGGCGGTCGCGCTCCATCACTGGGGTCTCGTAAGTAAATCGCATGAGGTCATCGTGAAATGGTCGTACTTTGCTGTACTGAAGTTAGCATCTTTCCAATGCGCCTGGGCTTCCGGAAACTCACCCTGTCCCATGCATCGATACCCCTCCTTGTCTTCTTTCCTCCGTTCTGCATCTCCTTGAGCTTTCCGACAGACACAGCGCTGAATGCGAAGAACTAGACCCTCATTAGCACTCCCTCGCCCTCAGGCGCGCCAATTACTTACGCCCGTCATAATGGCGTAGGGCAGCAGAGCCTCGAATGGGACACCCATGATTGCGGTAGTGTACTTAGTCGCGGTGGTGTTGCGGGGTGGGTTATCAGTGACGGCTGGTTGGAGGTGCGTCGGCGTGAAGTGAGGTGCGGCCGTGCGTGCATCCTTGGCAGCGACCCCGACCTACGCAAAGGGTGTCATTTCGAAGGATGCCGTTACAGGCCCACGGCGTTTCCTGACGAGCGACAATTATTCTCGGTGTCGCACTGAGCCACACTTTCATACGAACCGCGAAACCTGATACTTTCAGTCCCCATTTCCCCGGAACAATTGCCTCCGCTGAGGTCGCGCACCTCCACCTTCCCCACAGCCACGGCCAACGCGACTACGAGCTCGAGACACCTCACTCTGGTCATTCACTGCCTGTACAAGTCATTTCACGATAATACTTGGTGAAAACACGCGGTGGACGGATTCCCGGGTCACAACAACGCGTTAGGACACAGGCACGACGCGCTTACCAACCACCGCATGAGAGAGCCTCCGCGGCTGCTACCACTCGCGCGACCGATGTTCTAGGACTCAAACTACACTGGGACTGCGACAGTGGCTTATCTTGCCTCTAAGGTGGCCTCTGCCGTCAACTTCGCCATGGCAGAGCTCCTGGGCCAGCCTGCGAGCAACGCCGAACTTGAAGACATTGATGCCGATGGCGAGTATGAGATGGATGATGTAGAGTATGAACAAGCCCCGGCTACCGAGAACATGCCCGATGCCGAGGGTCATACGACCGATGCTGAAGGAACGGACATGGACGCCGAGGGCGAAGAGGATGATGCTGAGGGTGAGGACGATGACGCTGAAGGTGAAGAAGATGACGCCGAGGGTGAAGAGGACGATGCCGAGGGTGAAGATGTGGATGCTGAGGGTGAAGAGATAGACGACGACGAGGATGAAGCCGAGCCAGTTGGCGCTGTCAAGATCGCCCAACGTCGTCCTCAATCATCTGACGAGGAGGAAGATTACGAGGGCGATGATGTTGCAAGAGATTCATCCGACGCCAAGTCCAGCAACAGCGACGAGTCGAGCAACGCCGATTCTGAAGAAGAGAACCAATGGCAGGCGAGTGAAGATGGTGAAGAGGACGAGGTCATCAAGTCGGCCAATCCCAATATCTGCGTGTAAGTGTATTCTAAATATTGGAAAGTAAAACCGAAACTGACCAAGCAGATACTGCGGACTAGACGAGGATAACGATCCAAGCCCGGATTTCGAAGAGTCCCTCTCATGTACTTTGTGTGGAGACCATGGTGTGTGTTAGTAGTAAGAATGTTTGAATTTACTTGTTCGGTGGCTGACATGTTGTTCCTGCAGCACATCGGCAATGCGCCCGTAAGGCTGGCACGCTAAGTTCCGATGACGGTATGTTATCTTGTCAGCCCGGAACCGCGCCTTACTAACGATGAGTAGATGCAAAGCGTTGGCGCTGCCCTGACTGCACTCAAAATTTCGGAACTGAGGAAGAAGAAGAGGCTGAACGGCCCTCTACTTCTACACGCCGGAGACGTTCATCCCTGAACAAGTTGACCAAAGAGTTGCTGCCTTCACATCGTGGGGTTGACCCCGAAGGACATTCAATATTTAAAGAGCTAATTCTTCCCGATGAATCAGCAGATGGATTACGTTCACTGCGCAAACGCAAGACTTCACAAGAGGAGGAGGCACCGGTGCCTTCAAGGCAAACACGGAAAAAGCGGAGACCTTCTGAAGCGACCAACTCAGATGTCGAGCCATCAGTCCCTGCAGTCTCACCCAGACCACCATCGAGGAGCATACGAAGTGCTCGTAGCGTCATGACAGATGGTCACGAAAGTGGAGGCGAAGCAGAGCAGAATGGGTCAGAAGCTGGTCGGCTACGTCCAGCAAGGGCGCGTCGCGGGCAACCTAAGAGAAACGACAAACGCCCACTTGCCTGGATCGAAGAGGCTCAGGGCCAGAGCTTGATCATCGCTTTCCATCTCAACAACGAGAAAGTCCAACAGATTGTCACATCTAAGCCTAAGAAGAAGATTCAGACTCTCACGATTGAACAAGAGCGGCAAGAGAGACGGCGTGAGCGGGATAGAGAACGTCGCGAAAGGAACCGCCGGGCTGCACAGGCTGCGCGAGAGTCACCAGAGGTCCTGCACTACCCAACGATACATGTCCACCACGCCACACCGTTTCCAGGCTTCATGGACAAAGAGCTCGACGAAACCAAGAGCAAACCCTACGGCGGCGTGCTTTCCGAAGCTGATGCTGATACTTCCAAAACATACCCTTCGCCTGCTGACAGGAAGCGCTTTGACGACGCCCGTATCAAGGCCGAAGAAGAGTGGAAAGCGAAGCAGGCCGCACTCTATCCTCCCGAGCCAGCGCGCTCACACAAGCAAGCAGCCACTGCGAGCAAGATCAAATGCGTCAACTTTGGCGGATGGGAAATTGACACTTGGCACGCTGCACCATATCCAGAGGAGTACAGCAAAAATAGGGTGCTTTACATATGCGAGTTCTGTCTTAAATACATGAACTCGGACTACGTCGCATGGCGACATAAGGCAAGTATCCTGATTTTTTCTCCTGGTCGTATACTGACAGTCATAGCTCAAATGCCCAGCGAAGCACCCTCCAGGCGACGAGATCTACCGCGACGGGAAATACTCATTCTTCGAGGTCGACGGCCGGAAGAATCCCGTGTACTGCCAGAATCTCTGTCTACTTGCCAAGTTGTTCCTCGGTTCCAAGACGCTCTACTACGACGTCGAGCCCTTTCTGTTCTACGTCATGACTGAGAACGACAATTTCGGCTGTCATTTTGTCGGCTATTTCTCGAAAGAAAAGCGGCCCAGCTCGCTCAACAACGTCTCATGTATTCTGGTACTTCCGATTCACATGCGCAAAGGATATGGACAGTATCTGATTGAGTTTTCCTACCTCCTCACCCGTGTGGAGAGGAAGACTGGAAGCCCGGAAAAACCGCTCAGTGACATGGGTTTGGTGAGTTATCGAAAATACTGGCGGCTTGTTCTATGTGAGGAACTACTCCAACAAAAGGCTGCGATCAGTATATCAGCCATTTCAGACCGCACAGGGATGACACCGGACGATATTGTGTCTGCTCTGGAAGGCTTACGAGCTCTTGTACGTGACCCTGTCACGAAGAAGTATGCGCTGCGCCTTGACTTGAACTACTTCAAGTCGTACATTGAGAAGTGCAACGCTGCAGGCAACCCAAAGATCAACCCCGACTGTCTGATATGGACACCGTACGTTATGGGTCGTTTGGGTCAGTACGAAGATGGACCTGCCTTGCAAACTGTGCAGCAGCGCGATGAAGTAGAAGAGGACGAAAAGCCTGCGCCTGAGGAGGGTGTGCAGATGGAGATGGCGAAAACTAACGGCACTGGTGATGACGTCGAGGCAGCCATACCCACCATCACCGCTGAAGACTCCGTCAACGGTGGTTCACCGGCTCCTGGTACCCCACTCGCAAACGGCTCTACTATTGCTCTTGCTGGCTCCCATATGGATGAGCCGGCAATCCCACCGTCACGATACGAGATCTTCCCTCCCATACCCGGGCAACCCTCGCAAAGACGTCGACCAGGACGGCCATTTGGATCACGGCGAAGAACAAGCACTCCAAACCGCGTACGGAACACTTCACTGTCCATTCACACCGCACCAGTATCGAAGATCCAACTGTCGCCTAGCAGAGGTGCCAAGAACCTCATGTCACCGTCCGCAAACGGCGCCCTCACACCAGGCACCATTTCCCTGCGTAGAACGCGAAGCCGACTTGGTGAAAGCGTCACGAATGGCGAGGATGTCGAAGACGGAGGTGCCGTCAAAGCCGTTGCTGTCAATGGGCGGAGAAGCACACGCAGCTCTGCCAGTTCCAGAGGAAGCATCGATTTCAAAGGCAAGGGAAAAGCTTTGCCCATTGAAGAAGAACACGATGAAGACATTGATGCGGATGGCGATTACGACGAAGAAGAGGGTGATATGGACGTTGATGCTGAAGGCGAGGAAGACGATGACATTATCATGCAAGATGCGTAATCGGTGCTGACTGTTCAAGCTCTCCGCATTATTATTTTTTGTCGGTGTCGATTGGCCCACTTACGACAAGGGTCTGATATCTTTCTGTTCAGCACAAAACCCTGCGTTTTCAATTCGTGTATCATTATGTTCTTTTACTTAATCTTTAGCATGCATAACGGAGATACCTTGGGACCGGATAGCGAGGGGCGTACATCAACATCAATTCAATACATAATCCAGATGGACTATCTTCTATGACTCGTTTTACCATGATCCTATGCTAGGCCTTCATACCACATACATGTATCGTCGTTCCTCAATCGTCGCTGGTGTTTATTATTGTGATGGCCCAAGGATAGCCCAAGATGACGTCCCCTCGGTCCTCTTTCGTCCGAAACTCGTAACCCTCACCTCCGCTCCTCCTCTTCCACTCTTCCACCTCAATAGATCTTCACTTTACCCGGTGCCCCACACGCGACATCTCCACACATCCGCATTCGACGCGTTGTGTTTTAACTTCATATACGTCAATTGCAGGCTGGCTTGGCGGCGACAAGGGTTGCGGAATCTGCTATTACTCCATTTGGCCTGCGTTTACCCGGGTAAACAGCATGCAGGCTATGCGATTTTCACTAGCGCGTACAGAACAACGCGGGGGATGTGCAGATGCAGTGACGTTAGTGGAATCGTAACCCGATAATAGAGTAGGGTATAACTAACAGTGGGTGCAATGCTCTATTTGCAAAGTTGTACACACCGGATCTTGGTATTTGATACGGATTCTTTATCTCTAATTGATTGCCATGCTATTGGTCACCTATTCCGTGGTGGTGATTGCAACGGCCTTGGCTCGAGTAGCAACTGCACAAGCTTTCAATTCCAGGTGGTTCAATCCCATCTTACCTGGTGTAGGCTAAGCATTCAGATACACTTCCAAAAAGAAGGTTAATTGATATTATTCAGTTCCATCCTGATCCGAGCTGCATATTCCATCAGCTTGACGAGACATTCTACTGTGCTTCGAGTAGTTTCAATGTATTCCCTGGTATCCCAATTCATGCTAGCAAGGACTTGACAAATTGGAGACTTGTCGGTATGTTGCATTTCGCTTTTCGAATAATGAGTTGATACTTACAACACAACAGGGCATGCTTTGAACCGTGCGAGTCAACTGCCCGTTCTTGCAGAATCTATTGGGTCGACCAGTGGCATCTGGGCGCCTGCATTACGCTTCCACAATGACACATTCTATCTCTTGACTACGATGGTGCATGACAAGAGGGCTGACAACGACTCTTCGAGGTGGGATAACGTACGTTTACGTCACGGCTTGTTGCAAGAGATGCTAATGTTTCAGATCATCTTCTCGACGACAGACTTGTGGGATGAGAGCAAGTGGACTGATGCTGTACACCTTGACTTTGAGGGTTACGATATCAGCCCGCATTGGGATGACGAGGGAAACTCGTATGTTGTTGGAAGTCATGCATGGAAAGTAGCGTAAGCATTGTTCAGCATTTGAACATATAAAAATTATGCTGATAAACGCAGCTATGGTATTCACATCAATCGTGTCGATCTCACGACGGGAGAGGTACTCGGCGACTGGACTAACCTATGGAACGGTACAGGCGGTATTGTAAGTGTACCTCATCTGATCATATAGGCCACCACTCATCGTCTCTTCTAGGCACCGGAAGGACCACATATCTTCAAGAAGGATGGTTGGTACTACTTGATGATAGCAGAAGGCGGAACTGGCCTACTTCATATGGAAACGATAGCGCGATCAAAAGATCTTTATGGTCCATATGGACCCAATACCGCAAATCCAATCTTGACCAACGCAAACACCACCGAATACTGTAATTTCCCCCTCATGTCGCAAATGTATCAATATCTAACAGATCACAGTCCAAGCTGTAGGCCATGCCGACCTCTTCCAAGACGCACAAGGCCAATGGTGGGGTGTAGCGTTAGCTGTCCGCTCTGGCCCGGAATGGGTAACCTTCCCCATGGGCCGAGAAACCGTCCTGTACAACGTTACATGGGAAGCCAACTCATGGCCTGAACTGCAACATCCAGTCCGGGGCGAGATGCGAGGATGGTCACTCCCTGGCATCATCCAAGACCTACCAGGTGACGGGTAAGCCAGAGGACCTACAGAAAGAACTACTTGCTAACACACAACAGCCCCTTCGTAGATGAAGGCGACAACAACATCAAGTTCCGCCCAAACACCTCGATTCCACCACACTTCGTCTACTGGCGTCCACCTATCGCAGAGAACTATGCTATTTCCCCACCCGGCCATATCAACAGCTTGCGTCTCAAGCCCTCAAGTCTGAATCTTACAGGCATTGATGGAAACTCACCGGGTCCAGGCGGTCAAACATTCATATCCCGGCGGCAAGTCGACACACTGTTCAGTTTCGCTTTCGACCTAGACTACACCCCTAGTGCCCATAACGAAGAAGCGGGAATAACACTTTTCTTGACGCAGAACCACCACGCACGAATGGGCGTCGCGATGCTCCCTCTAGCCAACGACAGCAGTAAACTAGCACCACACTTCCACTTCCATGCTATATCCTACATTCCCGTTCCAGACGACATAGTCGTCCCTGTGTACGCCTCCTGGCTCAACAAACCGCTCACGCTGAGTCTGAGAGCGGTGAACGTCACACACTATGCTTTTGGTGCCGGACCCGCTGACGGCAGTGTACCTATCCAGGACTTCGCATATGTGGGCGGTGATATCATCTCCTGGGGCTTCACAGGTGCGCTGGTAGGGGCATATGCGACGAGCAATGGAGGAATTGGGACAACGGAGGCGTATGTTACGAATTGGAATTATCAAGGCTGGGGGCAGGTTAGGGAGAATTGGAATGGGACCGGAATCTACTGAAACACACGATTAGTCAAATAGAAGCGACAGTAGCCATTTGTTCCAAAAGCGAGTATACGTTGCCAATCAACTCCACCGAGCTGTTCTTTTTCTTATGGGTATAGGTTGTCTGGCTCCTGTCATGAACACGAACTCCTGGGCTTTAGCCTCTTAAGTCTAGGTTCGAGTCTCGCACAACATTCTGTAGTACAGAAAGTATCTACCGGGTACGTTGTGCCTCAGTGTACAACTCCTCGCCCACCGGCCATTACCGAACCCCTGAGTGCCCATAAATATGGGTTTCTTCCACGCTGCTCTCGCCATTGCGAGTCGATGATATCACACCAATTCCCGTCTCCTCATCCGAATACTGCACGCCTAGTCTGATCTTCTATGCACTCTACGTCGATCTCATACGGTCTGTGTAAGCATATTGCGTTTCTACGTTTGCCGCTGTCAAAAACGAAGCCGAAAACCGCCGTTCATCAAGATTTAACTTCATCTTCAATGCGAATTGCCGCTTTGACTCCTACCTGCATCGCATCGCATCGCATCGCAGCGCGTTGCATTGCATATCTTGAGTGACCTGTACAACATGACATCGCCGTCGGGGTGCCGAAACCGCACGCCAAGCATATAGGTCCATGATGATCGCAGTTGGTGATGCTTTTCGTCATTGGTACTGTTGATTGGATATTGATAATTTACTTCAACGCAGATTTTGAGACTTCGTAGAGGCTGAAATTGCTGGTGGCTGGACGGCGACGGATAGGGCTGAGTCGCTAGTACATCTTCAGTTAGATCGGAGATGACATAAGCCCGATAAGGGGATGTGTTGCGGGGATGTCATGGTGGGATGTTCCGATCAGCGGGACACCGTCTAGCGCGCAAATTGTCGTTCGCAAGGCGTCGTTGACGTGTGGCCTTTCTTTTGCGTTCCTGCATCTCGAAGAAGCCTTCACAATTGTTTTTTCGAAGAGTGTGGCACGTTACACCATGATGCTCGGTTTGTCGTTCTCCGCCTTGGGTATCCTTGTCCCAGTTCTCCTCATCGTTCAAGTGTTTGTCAGCTATGTCCGCAACCCATTGCGCAAGGTTCCCGCTGCACACCCGCTGGCACGTTTTACCTCAATGTGGATGCATACAGTTCGCTGGCGGGGTATCGAGAACGCGACATTGAAAGCAGCTCACGATCGCTTGGGCCCGATTGTGTGTTTGGGTCCCAACGAGATCAGCGTGAACTGCGTCAAAGGCGGGATCAGAGATGTCTATGCCGGAAGTTTCGAGAAAAGCAGTGCCAAGGATGGGTATAATTGGTATGGTTTCTTTTCGAATTATGGAGGGTGAGCACAGTCACGAGATCGACCGTGCGTTTATTGACTCATCGCAGAGTCGACAACATGTTCTCCACTGGACGCAACAAGCCGCATTCGCAGAGAAAGCGAATGTTGAGCAACATCTACAGCAAATCAAACGTCGCTGCAAGCGAAGCGCTGCTAGGTCAAACGTCTGAAATCCTCTATAGACGCTTCTTGCCCTATCTAGAGTCGACATTTGCCAAGTCTGAAAAGGGCGTTCTGAACATCTACGCATTGCTCAGCGCAACGACGATGGACATTGTGACGTGTTTCATTTTCGGGCTCAAGGCAGGCTCGAACCTAATCGATGACCGAAAGCAGCTCGCATGGTTTTTGGAATTGTACAATTCACGACGATCCTACAACTTCTGGCCACAGGAGTTCCCGCGATTTACTAGCTTCGTGGAGAAATGGCTAGGCTACCGACTGACGCCAAAGTGGGTCGATGAGGCAAACGGTGAGATCGAGAAGTGGACGGCGAGTATGTGCGATGATGCTGGTGCTGTCTCGACAGTGGGCGACGCACGGACTGAGGACCGGCCTGTGGTGTACCGACAGCTTCAAAACAGTATGGCAAAAGCGACGAAGGGGGTCGGGGACGACACACTACAGACTCAGATTGCGAGCGAGGTGTTGGACCATCTTGCGGCAGGGTTTGACACGTCTGGGATAACACTGGTCTATGTTGTTCATGAGCTCTCGCGACACTTGGAGGTTCAGGCCCGTCTCCGGGCTGAACTGCTCAGTCTATCACCGCAGCCTGTACCTTCGTCCGCACCAAAGCTGCCGGACGCGAAGACGGTAGACAACCTACCCCTCTTACACGCAGTCATCTGGGAGACGCTTCGTCTCCACTCAGCCATCCCCGGCCCCCAACCACGGTTCACGCCACAGCAAGGCTGTCAACTCGGCCCTGAAGAGGCGTCGTACCATATTCCAGGTGGGGTAAGAGTGAGCGCAAGCGCAGGCCTATTGCACCTCAATGAGGAAGTGTTCGAGCGCGCAAACGAGTGGAGGCCAGAGCGGTGGCTGGACTTGGACAAGCTAGACGAGGAGAAACGGAAGGATATGGAGAGCCGATGGTTTTGGGCCTTTGGAAGGTCAGTACTGCTCGTCGAAGCATATTGAACTCTGACACTTACTCTGCGCAGTGGCGGACGCATGTGCGTTGGAAGTCACTTGGCGATATATCGTAAGTGCTGATCCTTTGTACTTCCTTTTTCTATGTGGACAGCCCTCATGCTAGCCCCACTTCCAAGAAAATGGTCGTAGATATTGACTGAATTGCAGAGATGAAGTACATCATTGCTGTGCTGTATTCAAATTACAGCACCACGATCGTTGATGACGCAGGTATCGAGCAGATAGATTCGTATACTGCACCGCCCAAGAGCGACAAGCTCCTGGTAAGACTTGAGAAGATGGTGTAGTAACGAAGCTTGCGTGGCTGGAGGCTGTTACCTCAATTGTTAGACATGTTTGGACCCTGATCTCCAAGGCCGAAGAAGGAAGGAAGCAACTGCCCCGCCGCACGTGCGGCCATATCTTAGCGGAAATCGCAATGGGAAAAGCATGTACACTGCCGGTAACCGTACGGCGAATTTTGAGTGTGGCCGGTTCACGCCGCTGAAGATGCGAACCATGGTAGAGCGGTGGGAGCTACACACTATCAAGCCAATCAACAACCATAGATGTATGCGCTACGTGGAGAACGCTGCGTGAAAATTCTGAGGAGGCGGTGAACTCATGTTCATCGTGCTGTGAAGACACAAGCACTTGGAGAGGCGTCTGTCAGTGCTCCGGTATGCTTCTTGTTTCATCAGGACGAGATGGGAGTCTGCTTGTTGATCTGCTTCTTCAGTCAACATGTCTGCATCAGTCTCTGCATCAGCCTCTGCATCAGCTGCATTGAACCAGCTACCTTGCTAGCTCGAGGCAAAGTCACTGTAGTTCTGCCACAGGTTCCAAAGCCAATGACGCTCCGGAAGCTTTGCTCGCTCGACACCGGTCATGCAGCAACCCTCTGTCCAGGGATCATGTCCTTTTGCGCAGCCAGTAACATCTGTCTACCTACATCATACCCCCTTGGCTCGCATGAGGCCCACACATCGCACGCTGAGTTGAACAGCTCGTTGTGCGCTGATCGCCGATTCCTGGTTGGAACAGACTTCCGGGGCAACGTGTGCATGATACAATAGTGATCAGATTGACCTGACAGGCGGTGAAATTGCTGATGTATCGTGAGCCTGAATTGTTTGTGCGAAGTAATCGATGCGCATGGCGGGGCGATTGTGGAGAACTGTGACCAACGCGCACAGCAACAAGCACGGGGTTAGAGTTACTGTGGATCTGGATCTGGCTGCATACGAGGGGTAGTCCAGCCGGCTGTTCAAAGGTTGCGTTGCCAGGGCAGGCGAGTGCAGCTCTAGTACAACCTTCGGTCAAGTGCCGTGTCATTCAGGACTGATGCGATAGATATTAGACAAAGGGTGTCTGGCTCGAATCTGTGATGCCTCTCGGTGTCGCAGGACGGTAGTTAGCGCTGACCGATGCAGGCAAGGAGGTTCTTTGTTGCCACAGCGGATCAGGAATACTTTCCAAGTCTTTTCGGGCTACCAGCAGAGATCTTCCGCTGCGAGTACTGCTGGCGATCAAATAACCTGACATGCCTTTGTACATCCGCCGTAGCCACAGAAGGTGCCGTAGTTAGTTTACAACGGACATCGTCCCAACGCTGGCTCGCCAACTTTCGAAGACAGAAAAGGAATGTTCAAGTGCTTATCGACTGACCGCCACGATGCAAACTCATCTCAAATCACCAGCAAGTGCATGATCTGTACAGATCAAGCCTGCCGATGCTAGCCAGTTAGTCAAGCGCACGACGGATGTAGTTGCAGCAAGCTGTCAGATCTTTGTCACGAGAGTATACTATGGCTGTTAGTGTGTAGCTCTGCGAACCAGACGCGTTCATGTTCTCATCGATCACCTTTGTGCGGCAGTTGTGAGCGTGGCTAGGGCGCCTAAGACTTATTGCGTCCGCTGCGTACGGCTCAGCGGAATCAGGAGCCTAGTAGCGATTTGTTCCAAGATGAGCCCACTGTCTGTGCAGGCGAGATCTCGGATCCAACAACGCAGGGAGGATGCCCACGAGGTCTTTGTGATAGCAGTCATTGCATACACCCCACATCAGCATGAGGGGCCCGCAACCGTGAATGTAGGCGCTGTAGAGGTTTCCGGTCTTGCACACGGCTGAATGTGCCGCTCAGTTGCAGGTTGAGGTGCGTGTAATAAAGCGCGAGGGCAGTCCTCCTCTTTGCGCGTGCGGTCCGACTCAACATGTGGGTGATATTCCAGAGTGCAGCACTGGCTAGTATCGCAATGTTCGGCGACGGTGAACCTCATCGCAGCCCGTGACGGCACTCAATGATGTCTGGACAAGTCTGGAAAGACCGAGCCTCCGCCAGAGTAAGCGAAAAAGTAAATTAAGCGCATACAAGACCGATGTTGGGACAATATTTGCAACATATCCAGAGGGCCAATAGCGGGAAGCACTCGTATCCTGCAGGAACAGCGGCATGTCGGCGCACGGAGAGTAAGACAAGACATAGGCCACGAGGGAAACGCGCCGGGACAATGAGACGATCAGTCGTAGAGGCGCAACAAGCAAGCTCCTAGCAGTCAGATCATCGTGCCTTGTCGACTGCGACGGTTACCTGGCGATGGTGACCCAGGAAAGGCGCGCTAAGGACATGGTTGGCTATAGCGCTGCTGTCAGAGGTGGATTGCCGAGCTGAGGGTTTCGCAAGAGGCCCGCGGACTGCCCACTCGCTGGGTGTTTGTGGCTAAAGGGGTGTTGTACGGGGGTGTGGATGACGGTGTAACATCGTAGAATTTCTTTCATCAGGAGAACGGAGCATTTGGCGGTCTTCGCTTGAAATCGAACTACATCCCTGCAGAAATCCTCCCAGCCACCGCACGATTTGACGGCGATCATCCTCCCCACATGCATCTTCATAGCCTCCCAACGACATCACCCGCCTCAGCCCGACGATGTGTATGCACCATGCGTCATTCCTCCTTTCGTTATGCAACACCCAATGGAGACACTTGATGCGCGGTTCCACGTCCGTTCCAGGGCCGATTGACGACAGGAACCACACCGGGCACTACATTGCAGCGTGCGTGCCGTCCACTGCAGTGATACCGACTGCGGAGTGGGTATCCTAGCTTCGATGGTCCTGTCAGTTTAGCCCTCGAGTCCTGAGGCACGTTCCCGATCCGCCATGGTGCGCTGTCGGGAAGAGCGTGACAGCCGCCATGTGTGTGGACGTGTTCAGTACCACTGCACTCGCCTGCGAGTGGTCCCGACGGTTATGTTGGGGTCCGTTCAACTAACTCGAGAGCTCTGTGCCTCTGAGCTACGGATCAGAGGAACCGTAGCAACCAGGCCGGCGAACGGCGTGATGCTGAGATATTGGGCGTCGATGGGGCATTATATACGACTTCTCAAGTAGAGTAGTTGCAATGGCTAAATTCCGAGCATCTCTGTGAGTGCCTACAGGCATGGGGCTCTTCCGTCGCATGCAACCGGGTCCCCCGTTCGATGCTCTTGGATAGTGCCCTCCCAACCCTAAACCTGGGATTGCCGTTGATTCCAAGCCGTCTTGCTATCCTTGCTCTGCTGCCGCACAGTCTGTGCAGCTAGGTCTACCATCCGGCTGCATGGGACACCCTCGCTCTGGCAGTGCGTTCTAGCTCCAAATCAATCCTTGAGCACTCTTCGGCTTCATTTGAGAGTGCTGTGAGCATATACAACAGTCACCGCACTACGGCACAGTATCTGCGACCAGCTTGCCTTCTTGTACCTCGTCCCGCCGTGCCGCACTCGCACGCTTACACATGCACCATTCGGCTGCACAAGCTCCCACCTCCATCGCGAACCCGGTATTACGCTGAGTATTTACCGTCCTGTCGTTTTCGATTGTACACTCGACGTCATTAGCAAACGCATCAACCACATCGCAGACAGCTTCGGACTTGACCAGGCGCAAGAGCAAAATCAACCAGGACTGTGTCAACAAGCGAAAACCTTAGCTCCCAGAGGAACCGTGCCTACAGAAGAAGAAACAAGCCCAGACGACCTTCCATTGGCCGCACTAGAGCTTGTTCGCATGATTCACGCCGCCGCTCGTTCATCTCTTAGCACGCTAGTTCGGAGAGACCCTACAGCATTGATCGGCCGCGCTCGGCACCAGTTGCTCTTGAGACTAGACAGAGAGCGACGAATCATAGTCGAAGCCGCCACGGAGCCGTACGACGACTGTAGAGGAGCCCCGATTGAGACGAGTACTTCGAGGTACCCTTGCCAACTCTTCTATCTTGCGCATCACTCTCGTGCGTCTTCCTTCTTGAGCCACGGGACATCGCTCTCCAGGCCCTCTCCTTCTCTCTCTGGCATTTACTTCTCATCTCACGCTTTTGACAGACTTCTCTAATATTACCCTGCCGACACGTCATCGCTGCTTGACTGGTCGACCAGCACGACACTAATACCATCGAAGCCGTTAGAGACGGCCCTCTTTGTTGTCATATTCGAATATTCTCTACTACGGATCGGTACCAAACCTGAGTAGCCTCGAGCTCAATCGAACAGCTCCCACTCGAAATACGGCAGGTGCTATGCCTTTGGGCAAAACCGCGAAAAGTACAGTCTTCTACAAACCCGACACTGCAAGTTCTGGGCGACGCAGGTGCAACACTCTTTGTTGTTGTTGATTATACGTGCGCCACTTCCCGTTTGAAAACTACGGTCCAGTGTGGAGCAGACCATCTCTCCGCAGGCGGGCCTTTAGCTCGGTCCCGTTGAGACGAGGGCCAGATCCACTCCCGCGCAAGCCATTCGCATATCGAAGCCGTCCAGAGGTGCCTTCATCTCCAAAAACGACGGCATAGAAATACGCATTACTATCACCGGTGCTTAACTGGATCGTTGAGAGCGGGCAGTCGCGCTCCGCCACAGTTTCTCCGAAAAAGGGCCCAGCACCCATGGTTACGGTGGTCCACACGCACTTTCATCGCTCATTACCACCACTATTACTGGACACGCAGGAGTTTGGACGGTACAGTGTCTCCACAGAGATTCTATCCTTTGTCCGATAAGCTGCATTGCCCGCATCATCACCACTAATACGGCAAGCAGGGCCTTTGGACTTTGGACGGTACAGTGCCTCCGCAGCCACTCTGCCCTTGGTTCGATACGCCTGACCTTACGCATTAATCACACACTCCGCTAGCGGGATGGAATAAGTTCCCAAATGTTTTTACGAATTCTCGACCATCCTACTTCATTCCACTTCCATATTCTTGGGAGTATCTAAGATTCTCTGGGAACCACTACCACGATCGTCCAGCTCTACTATGGAGCGCCGGACTATGAACACGATGTCTTCCATGTTCCCGCACTCGATGCCGCCGTACAACTATCAGCCCTACTACCAGTCGAGCATGCCTGTTCCACTACCGGCCGCCGCTCCTGGCCCTGAACCTCTACGCCCTTTGAACTACCAGCAGACTATGCATGTTTCGCAACCAGCCGCTAACCCTGGCCCCGAACATCTACGTCCGTCAACCTGCTATTTGCAAGTCCGCCAACAGCCTATCGAGGCGCTCGTCACTGTCAAGGGCAAGGAGAAGTTTCGGAAGCCCGTGGATCCACCACCGATCGTAGAGCTGAAGCTTACTAACGGGGCCGATCCTTCGAATACCTTCTTACAGAACCCCTACATCTTCGTCAGTGTATCTTTATACAAACCAGATAGAGATGAACCCGTCGAATTCACCCCAAACGACTCGTTGGCAGGCACTCTGGTCTCCTCCCTACACAGACTCAAGGATATTGACAACAAGGACGGCGGATTCTTCGTCTTTGGCGATATCTCTGTCAAGATTCAGGGCAGCTACAGACTACACTTCACCATGTACGAGTTTCTGCCCTTACAAGGCGAGTTTCAATCTCTTTACTCGATTTCAAGCGACAAGTTCAAGGTCGTACTGCCCAAGGACTTCAAAGGTCTCGACGAGTCGACGTACCTCTCGCGGGCGTTCTCCGATCAGGGTGTCAGACTCAGGTTGCGCAAGGAAGCGAGAGGGATGATGAGCAACAAGAGAGGTTATCAGGCAGAGACAGAGTCGACTCAGCAAGCGCCTATCGCCCCCAGTTACGATTATCAGGCTCCGAAAAGGAGGAAGGAAGACTACATCGACAGCCCTGTCATCCCAAGCTCTGCACCACGCATCAACAACAGCATGCTCATGACGCCTTTCAACTACCCAACGTACGCTCCGTACAACCCATACAATCCCCTCCCATATACACAACAACCAACGCAAGACTACTCGCTGGCGCCCCCATTCGAGCCGCACGAAGACGGTAACTAGGAGGACGTCAAAGCCCAGCATGATACGCACACGTATGAGATACCCAGCAACAACTTCGATATCCCCACTATCACGCGTCGGTGTTCTCCGCTCGATTGTAGCCAAGTTTTCTGATATATTTGTTTCGTCCCCTTTCTTTTTACGACTATTATAATGAGTGGTTTTTTGTGGCCCTCAGCATGGTGTTATGGTGTGCGCACAAGGCATTTGGGTATAGAGCTTCTAATCACGACAACAAGTTATGTTCTTCTCTTTCTTTTCTATTATATCGCGCTACGATACTAGGTATCACACTGTCATGGAGGGAGTATTGGGTTTAGCTCACCTTGGGATCAGAAAAATAACCACCCACTGAACGTAAAAATATCAAAATTGCAAAACTACTCATCGGAGTCCTGTGAATGATGCGCTTGGTGATGCAATGTGCCTTTGCATCGCAACAACCGATACCGTACCTGCAGCTCAAATACGCACTACCACCGTGTGCAAGACCTGGACGATTTGGAAGACAAAGGCCGCCAGTCGGCTTGATACCACACAGCCGAGCACTAGAGTCACATGCGAATTTGAACTGTAGATCCGTTGCGTGCTTCGTCAAACTTGCGCTTGAGAGATCGACACTCGCGAAAACCTGCCTGGTGACATCGGGCGATGCCGTGCAGTAGAGTATCGGATTTTCCCGCAACAGCTGACGAAAACGATACGATTTTGGTGCGGCATTTACCTGGAACACAGGCCACACAATACGAAGCAAAGATCGTGTGCTGGATCTGGGATCTTCAAGTTGGGCTTCACTCTGATCGCGCAGTGAGCAACCTGCTGCTACAGAGACAGCGGACAGACAACCAGGACTTCGGGGAGTGTTCTTTGGCACACGAGAGACCCTCTACCCATCGTACCGCTCTGTGCAACCGCAGAATATAACTCTTCGAGACCCAGTCCGTCCCGCGACTCCACCAGATATACAGGTCATGCAGATGCGTTGCACTACACCCACCACGGCCATCGACCAGCACAACAAGAGGTCGGTTATGGTACGGCTCGCTCCAGCCCTCCCTACCCATATTCTGACTATCCCCTCCATCACTACCGGCGCAAGCCCCCCAGCCCCTCGTTCCCGCTATCCTCCTACCACCCCAAACCCCCTCTTTGTGTTCTCCGAGCCACTGTGCCCAACTCAACGCCACACAGCGCCCTAAACCTTCTCACGATCGCCGTTTCAAACTCAGCACCTCAGGGATCATTCATCCCCACTTTTTCACCGGCTGTATGACTGTTTGAGGAATGGCGGCGAGATGACGTGCATGAGAATTTGGTCTCGTGATTAGTGCATGAGCTAGAGAACGGTTGGGCTGAGAGAGTTTGGTGGCTTGGCGGGACGGGAAGGGGTGATTGGTGGGGGGTTTGATGATAGCGAGGCGTTGAAAGGGGATTTCGGAGACAGCGAGATGTATGGAGGGTGAGAAAGGGAATCAATAGCGTAGTGGCTAGAGGTGGTCTGATCATTGTGGGAGGGGGAACAGGTTTGACAGTCCATTTGAACTATGTAGTAGATGACTAACTACATGTGAAAACTCGACAGCACTGACTAGGTTGAAGCTACAAGACGAATGCCTGGGATGGCGAAACTTCATGTCATGCCACACCTTTATAGAACGTCCTTCTTCTTCGTGCAATGCAGGTCCAGTATATTCCATCCTCTCCAATATCCAGATGCTAGACGACTGTCGAAACGTCAGCGCAAACGGCATCGGGACGACAAAGTCGAGTAGGAGATCTCGGATACATGGCTGAGATGAATGCTGCCAGATATCTAAGTATACTTGGCAGTCACTGATCCGTATCGGATACCGTTGACCAAGACAGAGTACTCAAGAGACGACTGGACTGACAACTCGATGTCGTAATTGAGCTTATAGTACATGACGCCAGAGGGACTGTAATCACGCTTGAATGCGCTCTGTGGAACACTGCTCAGGTCGACATGGAGAGTTGCTACAGTGTACACATCCTGGTTCTTGTCAGTTGATCGGAATTTCACATCCCGCACGTAAACCGACCTTATCCTTGGAGCGTAGAGGAGCCCTATCCGTATCTGACGCGATCAAATCGATGCTAGCCGAAGGCCTATCTAGAGACCAGAAACGATGGAACATCTCAATCTTGGCATAAGTGTCAGTGTTGGTAGAGAGATTCTGACCCTTCTTGAGCATCCAGTCGACCTGAGCATCAGCCCACTTCGTGCCCGTGAACGAACAGATGTAGCTATCAGTCTCCCGATGCTTGGTGGGGCGGAAGAGATAACTACAAGCAGTCCCGTAGTGCCTACGGCATTTACGATTCTTGATCTGCGCGCGACCACCTCCTTCGAGACCCTTCACTACAGCACCGCGAACGATGGAAGACCAAGCGTTTGGAGGCCGGATTACTTGCAGGCCGTGGCCTTCTGCGAATGTCTGGATCTTATCAAACATGTATGGCGACTCTGTAAGGCCGCCGACCAACACAATGTAGTTGATCCGTACCTTGCCACTGAGGCGTGCTTGCTTCATTTGCTCCAACAAGAGCTCATAGGTGCGGCGAAGGGAAAACCCGAACATGTCCTCCATATCGTTGCTGAAAGCTTTAGTATGCGTAGAGTTTAGAGGAATAGAACACTTACGGTGTGATCAGGATCTCACCATCGATAATGCCTCTAACTGAATCCTCCTCAATGGCGCTTAAAGGAGGCGGAAGACGCATGTAGTTCTTCTGCTTCCCCGAGAAGCCGCCCTTGGCTCCCAGAACAAAATCTTGAAGCATCTTGCCCAACTTCACAGACATAGATGTGTGTGGAAGCTCTTCGCTCCTGCAGCCAGCAATCTTTGCGAAGTCGACCGTACCTAGACGGCGTTCTAGCCAACGAATGAAAGCGCGATCAACGAAAGTGCCTCCGCATTTATCACCTCCGCCGACAGTAGCTTCTTCAAGGATGGTCGGTTCAAGTTCAGCAACACGGTATGAGATCAAGTCAACCGTACCACCTCCCATATCACAAACAATGAACCCGTCTCCGATCGCGAATTGTTTGTCTTGAATACCACCACGCAGCGACTGGATTGTATAAATTGCGGCAGCTTCTGGCTCAGTGATGGTGACGACCCTCTTCAGCTGCGGGAATCCGGAGTTTTTAAACCCTGCTTGACGAACCGCCTCTAGTGTACGGTCTTTGGCAGCATCAGACCATACAGCCGGAACGGTCACCACCAATGTGATGGGTAGGGTCTTCCAAAGCTCTCTACCATAGCGTCGGTCGAGGTTCTTGAGTAGGTGCACCTTCACTTCCGCGAGAAAGTCAGAGACAACTTGTACGGCTGAGTCCTGGGTACCGTTGGCGTTCGATAGGTTGGTTGTGTCTTCAAGCTGTGGAGTGTCGAGCTCAAGCTTGGTCCAGATATGACGCTGCACATTCGGGGGAATGAGAGCGCCGTACACAATACCATCTTCTGTGTATGAGATCTCGCTCGGGACTTGATCCTTCGTACCGACTATGGTATGGCAAGAGGGCCAGTCTTGAATGACTTCGATAATCTTTTCGGCTACGCTTGTGTCGGAGGTTTCACAGAAGGCGACACCTGTGTTGTCAGTTCGAATCTAGATTATCAAAAATGGTAACACAGGACTTACCAGTAAAGGTGCAGCCGTAGTCAAGACCGATTACCAGCCTGCTACCCATGGTGGATGAACGAGGGTTTTCGTGTGCAAAGAAAAGGGATTTTGTCCTCGCGTAAAGGTTGGTGTGTTTGTGCAGAACGATTATAAAGATAATAGCAACGAACAGCTGAAAACTTTTCGGCTTAAAGTGAAGGTGAAGGTGAACGTAACAGAAGAGCGCTTTCGTTTGTTGCGCTGATACACCGCCGAGGAAGGCCCTCTGCGATCGTACGCTTGCGACCTACCCTACGCCTATATCAAACGTTGCTCAACATCACTGCTTGTCTTCACACACTTGACGAGATGGTGAGAGGAGATTTGGCAACCACAGCAGCAGTAAGTGACCGAAGCTCTTCTCACCTCCGCCTGCTTACAAACCGTTTCCAGAACGCCGGAGGTATGGGCAACTTCGTATCTTTCCGATCACCACAGAACGATAGCCGTCCCGAAAGCGATAGCGGCAACAGACACGACGTGGGAACACAAGCGGTAGACAGGCTGATGGCAGCTAGAAACAGAACGGACATCGCTGTCACTATCGACCGTCCATTCGATGAGCATGAACGACTGCTACAGGAGCAGCTGAAACAACAAAACGACAAGTCTCAGAAGTTACTTTTGGAGAACAAGAGAATCCACGAGGTATACAAGAAGGTGTGCGACGAGCGTCACGAGCTTCGAGAACATAAGAAGATCTCTGGAGAGCGGATCAAAGACCTCCATCAGAATCTACAAATCCTCGAAGATGAAAGGTGCTACACTACCAGCAGATACAACTATCTCGTTAAGAAGGTTGTTCTACCGTATGCGCAGTACCGGAATCTTCAGTGGAACGAACAAACCGGAGAGACGATCGACATCGTCGTGGACCCTCTAGTCGCAGATGCTCTAGAGGCTGATAGCCTGCGTGAACAAAAGAGTGCATTGCAGAGAGAGCTGCTTGCCGGAGTCGAAAAGGGAGAAGCGATGACTGACGAGTACTTCGCGCAAGAATACCGCAACCTCGCCGCTCTTGTCAAAACCCTGAGTCGTGGCATTCGTCTCGAACCCTATGTTAATGTGATTGAATCTCTGGACTCTGGCATCTTACTGGGAAACGTCGCAAAAGGAGAGTGGACGAGTCGTATCCAGAAGAAATATATGATTGAAGCATGGACTTGGTCAGTCTTGCTCGATCTTGTCTTTCGAGATCCTTTCGTTATGTTTGGGACCACGACTGAAACATTAAGGAGTCTCTGGTCAGTATTGTTCGATAGACCTCCCGACCAAGACTGGCCGGCTCCGTCCGTACTCTGCGAGACATGGCGTTGCACCACGATGGAGAGGCTGGTGGGTGGTATTGTTGATCCGAAGATCATCACACAGCGAATGACGAAGGAGAAGTACCAACCCTTGGAGCAGAGTTTGATAAATGCTCGAGACAATGTCGTCGAAGTCATGAACATAGCCCTGGCAGCGGTTTCCTCCCAGATTGATGTCTCTGAGCTCCATCAGATCGTGGACAAGGCCTTTGCGTTGACTATGCACATGTCGTTCCAGCGCGCCCGCTTTCAAATTACCTACCCCAAACATGGAGACGACTTCAACCCACAGTCGATGAAGTCCATCCCGGACTCCGATGGAGAAGAATTAAACAAAGGAATTGTCGCTTTGGTCGTCAATCCGGGCCTGACCAAATGGGGCGATGCGCACGGCAAGAACCTCGACCACCGTTACGACATCGTCGCATCTCTAGTCCAACTCGAAGCAGTCGATGAGAAGCGTGTGGACGCAGCATACGATTAAACAAACTCTCTGCTCAGTAACTTCGGAGTTGCTGTGCCTCGTCAGGACATGAAAGCTCACAGACCCTATCATGAGAGCCAGCGTTGATAGGAGTCAAGAGATTCACAACACAAGAAGTTGCTGCCTTCTAAAGCTTAAAGAAGTGGTCGAAGGAGAGCGGGTTATCGAGTTTGGAATGGAACAGGAGTGGCGGATGTACCTGAGAAGCACATAAATACTTGTACGACTTCTGCACCGTTTCCAAGGAGTCATTCCGTAACTCTGTTCTCAGCTCTAGAGAACCAATACAAAAACTCATCTGAGACAATCATCATGATGCTGTGCGGATATGATGACGACGTGTATGCACGCGTTTAGAGCGTATTTCAAGAGAGTAAAGTGCAAATTAATGGCTAGTTATCTCGCGGACAAACGAACTAAGAAGGGACGAGGCGACCAGTGTCTTTTGGTGCCGATGATATTAGATATAGGAGACGAGTTGCGATCGGAATCGAGATGAGAGTGAATGTTCACGTCAGAGGCGCGTCCGAGCGAAGCCATTTCCGCGGCTAGCGCAGAACGCGTCGAGCCCGTCCTCCATACTGCACCACCACGAGCTGTGCAAGCACCCGTACTCACGCATGCCAATTGCCCTTCTGCCCTACTCTTTATTTTAATCACGTCTTGTATTATTCTCCCCACAAATGCTGAGCATACAATAAGCTTCACACCGCCCCGCCAGCCCCCCCCCTCAAATCCTCCCGACGCGTCTTTCCGCGCGTTTTCTCTACACCTGCACCCAGGGCAAACCACTTTACCGCCACCGCCATGTACCTCCCGCGAAACCTGATAGCCCACCTATACCAGAACCTCATAAAACGCACACATGCCGCCGCACCGCCAGTTTTGCTCCTTGTCGCCCTCGAACCAGACGCGCTTTGTGCCTGCCGAATACTCACCGCGTTACTGAAGCGCGATTACATACCCCACAAAATACAACCCATAGCCGGATATGGCGACCTCTCACGAGCGGCAGAAGACCTGGTACGGCCCATGCGGACAACAGACGGCGGAAGCGGAGGCGTGGTCATATGCTTAGGTGTGGGAGGCATGGTGGACATGGAAGAGATACTGGGTCTGGATGTGGATGAAAATGGGGAGGGTGGAACAGGCGATGTAGAAGTCTGGCTCTTGGACGCGAGGCGGCCGTGGAATCTTACCAACGTCTTTGCCGCGCCCATAAGTCAGGACCCCGCAACGGGAGAGTTCGTGCGGAGACAAGCGGGGGTGGACAAGGGCAAGATCCTACACTCGTACCAGTCGTCAAGAGGTGGAATCATAGTCTTTGACGACGGCGATATCGAAGAAGAGCTACAGGCGGAGCGTGAAGCATATGCCGGCCTTGAAGAGATGCCAGAGGTGGGAGAGGAAGACGACATTAGCGATGACTCGGACGACCAGGATAATGAGGAACCGTCGTCTGGACAAGCACCAAAGAAGAGGAAGTCATGGGGCGAGGAGGACGACTCCGAGGACGAGATGACAGATGATGAGCGACCAGCACAAAGGCGGAGGAGTAATTCAGTGGGTCTACTCATTCAATGTGCAGAAGGGGGAGCATGCTAACAATACTCAGGGAGGCTCAATACCATCGTCACCCGAGCCGAGGCGGCGAAGAGGATTATTAGCAGCGAATCAAATAGGCGGCTCCTCCGATTTCTCTCGATCAGACTCCCGCAGCCGCTCTGCATCCCCATCGGTAGCCGCACCGAAGGAGAAGTCGTTGAAGAGTCTACGAAGGCAGCTGATCAAGAAGCGAAACAAGTACGCCTCCACCCTCGACAAATACTACGGGCTTGGCACCTCCTACTCAGACCCTGTCTCTTCTCTCGTATATAACCTGGCATCAGAACTCGGCCGCGAAGACAACGACCTGCTATGGAACGCGATCGTTGGTGTCAGCAGTCTCGAGCTATACGGACGGACAGGAAGCGGTGTTGGCCTCAACCCTCTCTCAGCACAAGGCGGTTCAGCAGGATGGAACGGTAACCGAGGAGAGAACATCCGCTCTGTCCTCCGAGACGAAGTGCGACGACTGAACCCTGTCACAGACGCCTCAAGTGTATCTCGCAATGCAACACTGGGCGAGGTATGGGGTGTGATCCCCACAAGTGCTCTCTCAGCAACAGACAAGTCTATCCGCCTCTCTCCCGAACCACGATTCTTGCTCCTTCGGCATTGGTCTCTTTACGAGAGCATGCTCCACTCACCCTACCTCTCCGCGAAACTACACATCTGGAGCGATGCAGGACAAAAGAGACTTGCTAAACTTCTTGCGAAGATGGGTGTGTCGCTCACTGAGTGCAAGCAAAGATATACACACATGGACATGGAGCTCAAGCGTGGTCTCCGAGAACGCCTCCTGAAGTTCGCTCCGCAATACGGTCTTGACGGCCTCGTGCCGCCAAAGTCAAGCACAGGCGACCCGAAGGACGGCTGGGGATTTGTACGCTGCTGGGGGTGGAAAGCATGTCTCTCCGCCATCGACGCCGGTGTCGTCCTGGGTGCCATCCTCGAAGTCGGCGACGCAAAGAATCTCAACCAATCTGCCTTGGACAGCTCGAACTTTGTCGGAGCCAACGACCACACTGAGATGACATCGACTCAAGAACAACAAGACCTCGCCCAAGAACACATCACAAGCCGCTTCTGGACGGCATACGATGCCTTGGGTGACATAGACAAGCTAGTCGAGCACATTAGCACAGCGCAACACCTCCACCGCGCCATCCTCCGTACAGGAACCGCCCTGATTGAGAAGAGGCAGATTCGCCATCTTCGCGCCTTCCGTATGGCCGTCGTGAAGGAAGGCCCCGATGTCCAACTCTTCACCCACCCTGGTGCCCTTACCAAACTCGCTCTCTGGATTGCCGAGGCTATCGTCGAACTTAATGGCACAAAAGGCAAGAACAAAGGCAGTGAGCTCGTCATGGCTGGCCTGGATGACTCACGAGGTCTGTACGTCGTCGTTGGTCTTGGAGGAGGTGGTGCCACCGAATCAGCAAAGTCGCGTCTCCAGAAACGCGAGGCGAAACTCAAAGCGAAGGAAGCGAGACAACTTGAAAAGGCCGAAGCAAGGGAAAAACGACGCAAAGCGCGTGTTGCACGCAACCTCGCTGCTGGCCTTGAAGAAGATGAAGTGGCAGATGATAGTGAATCCGAGGAGGAGGAAGACGACTCCTCGGACAACGATTCTGACGATTCAGAAGATGAAGATGACAATAGAGGATCGGGAATGAACAGATTCGGCAACGCGTTCCAAGAAGTCGTCAGAGAGACTGGCGCCAGAGTGCGCATGGACAGTTTCGAAGCCTGTGTGATTGAGATCAAGAAAGAAGATTTGAGTGGATTCTTGGAGAAGCTGAGCCAAAAAGCTGTTGTTGGATAGACGTGCACCGTCCTCCACGTAGAGAGATTTCTTTGTGTTACTGTTCTGGTGACGATATGGTTTTGGTACAGAGGCAAGATACCACTTTGAAGGAATCAAGGTTGGGGTTTTGGGCACAGCGTTTGCATGCATGACATGGCATTTTTGGGCGGGAATATCCATGTAAGTTTTTTATTGATTGGGGGCATATTTGTAGGCAGGGTTACATGTACAAGCGATGACCTTTGGAAAGTACTTAGCATAGCAAGCAAATCGTATTCATGCATAACAAGTCCAATTTCAACCGACTGGAAGAAAGGAAAGTGGTATCTTTAGTACTAAAGCACAAGCAAAACCAACACACCGCTCCCGCCAAATACTGTCATCGCTTCTGAAAACTACTTGGTATACGACCTGTCTTTCCTGCCAATGGTCAACTCTTCGCCATCCTCACCGTCGTCCCAGCTTCCTTCCCCGCTACTCCTCCTCTTCCTTGTCCTTTGCTTGACACCGTCCGTCAACCTCCTCCTCACCTCGTCCAGATTGCCATCAATGGTACTGAAAGGCTTGAGCTGGAAGCCGCTCAAGTTCGCACTGCTGCTATTCCTGCTGCGGCTCTTCTTTGGCGTCTGCGGTCGACTAGAAAAGAAGTCTTGGTTGGCAAGATCATGGAACGACTCGTTGCGCGGTATCTCGTTAATGGAACCAGGTGAAGCAGGGTAATCGTATGTCTCGATGTCTTGGCCTGCTTCTGTCTTCGCGTCCTCGTCTGACTTTTGCGGTGGTGTACGGTCGTGCTCCTGCTTGACGAAAGGATCCTCGACGATACGCTTGGAGTGGAAGTCCTCGTACATCTCCGGGCCGAGTTCGTTAATAATGTCATTCACACGCTGGGCTAGATTCTCGCGTCGCTCCTGTAGCTTGACGAGTTCGCTGTTGGAGAAGGGGTTCATCATCTTCCAGAGGGGGCCCAGTGACTTCAAAATGTCCATAGCGACCTCACCGAATCGAAGAGCGCCGTATGTGAGGGTAATATAGACAACGAGTTGAGGAAGAATGAGCCAACGCTTTTGGATGCCGGCAGGGAGGTAGCCGTTGCAATTGTTGTAGGAATACCAATAGAGTCCTAGGCAAACGTACCAAAGGTAGGCCGCTGGTGCGGCAGCCATGGCGACGAGAAGCTTCCATGTGGCCATGACATCTCTGGCTTGAACCTTGACGTTCGATGCGGCGAGTGCCTCTTTCGCCTTCTTGATCGAGACGACCTTAGTGACGATAAAGACCAAACTAAAGAGTAGCGTTCCAGGAAGGACGAGCATACTCAGGAAGAGAAGCTTTCCAAGACGATAAAAGAACAGGCCGAATGCCGTGATAGGATGCATCTTCGCGTACTGCACTTGGTGATCCCGGAGGCCGAGCGCCTTAAGCTTGCCGTTGTACGTGGTGACCTCCTTCTTGAGCTCAACAATACGAGGGTCGTCTTTGTATCGTTCGTAACCTTGGACAAGGCGGCGATTAAGCTCGACAATTCTAGGAAGAGGGAGCTTGGTGCCTTTGGAGTTGTAGAGGCGACGTACAGCTTGAATGACCTAAAAGAGTCAGTATTGATAGAGAGTATGGGGGCGTATTGGACCTACCATAAGAGTATCGTAATCTGGTGTCGTAACGGTAACAGAGATGAGTCCTTGGCGAATGGTCTCCAACATCTCGCCGATGGCCTCACGTCTTCCAGGTCCATCAAACTTCTGAGCTAGCTCGGGTGGCACGTGGATTGGCGTACCAAACTCGATGACAGCCCTCGATCGAAACTTATGAGCGTGGAAGTAGTTCATGCCGACAGGAATAATGTTCAAGTTGCAGTCTGGCTTCGTTGCGACTGTACCGAGCGCCATAATAGCAACACCAGCTGAGAGTTGTTAGTACGTGGTCAACTACCATTGTTGGATTACTCACCTTTCAGAGGTAGGAGATCTGTGCGGTCATGGCTACCACCTTCAGGGAAGATACCGATGCTTCCACCGTGATGGAGAACCGCATGAACCGCGTCGTAAACCTCCGTTTGATCGAGCTTGGGCGCAACCTGGAAGGGAGTTCCCTCATAACCATCAGCAATACCCTTCTTTGCATCGGCTCCGCCAACAAATGTGCCGTCCTTGGTCATGTCATTTCGCCCAGTCATTTGCTGCATGGCAACACCTCCCTTGAAGCCACGCTTTAATCTGATCTCTTCGGGGCCTTTGATCTCGAGTATCTCAGCGGTCGCCGCCTTGTTATCTACTTTGGGCAATACGATCGAGCCGCCGACTTGGAACTTTGGGTCTTCGAAGTTGGTGCCTACACCGCGAACAAGGGTTGGATCGTTGATGGGATCGGGGAGGTACACTTTGCCCTCTGCAGGCTTCGTCATATCCATGGCTCTTCCTACCGGCACGACACCTGTCAAACCTGCCATTGCGCCTACAAACTTGCGCTTCATCGACTTATCGGCGATCAGAAACTGAATTCGGCGGTCGGATTCTTTTTTGACGACTCGCATTAACATGAGGGGATCAACAAACTGCCATCAGTTAGCATACTCCGTCGCGCAGCACGATAGGATTGTGCCTTACCTGATTCGCATGCGGGGCGCACACGAAAATGACAGGTCCCTCCTTTGGCACCTTCCAACTACTCCTGGGATGCACTTCTCGGAAGAAGAGCTCCACCAGGATAGAAAACGTCCACAAGAAGGCGTCGTAGACATATTTGTTCATGACGGCGAGCTTCTTGCCCTTCGCATCTCTCTTCTGAGTCGCCATGACGGCTGCCTAGACCACGAGTATGCTACCAACGGTCGTGAGAGAGGTGGTATGCGCCACCGAAAGAGCGAGGTTGGTGTAGCTTCCTATGGCTGTGTGCGATCGTATGTGGGTTCGGGGGGTGATAGCGATAGCGAACGAGAGGCGACGAGGTTTGGATGTGCGCACTGCGAATCACAGTCGCTGACGATGAGGCTGCGTTGGGAGCTGCAAGGTTCACGTTGGTTAGCATGCAGGTGCAGACTGAGACATGTTGTCACGCACCTTCACGTTCTAGCACTTTCTCTACAGATGTCGCGTGTAGAAGAACATCAGGCCACAGTAACTTCCGATCCTGCGCGGACACGTGAATAGCCGATACCCGATCAGCACGCTTTGTTGCTAAGGATGACAAGCTTTCAACAGCGCGTATCCGGAACGCTATTTCGTTGTTGAGCTCGGATATGTGGAGGGTTGCAGATATGGGCTGGGGTAGTGGGATGGTTCCTATGTCATCGCACGTTAATTGTTGGCGGCCTTCCCTAGTGGGGTAGTCGCCAGCGCCCATCGCCGAAAAATGTCACCCCCGGAGACATGCCAGACCGATGAAGCGATTTGACAGTACGAACTTTGCAATTTTTCAAATTTGCCATCATATCACGCAAATGTTCAAGCTGTCACTTTGATAGTCACGTATGCATCCTGCCAGATAAAAGGACCAATATACATTTTGTAAGATGCCGTCAAGCGGCCTGGGAATATGGTGGTCTATAAAACAATAAGGGTATATGTACAAGATAGAAGAAGAAGATGTGAGGCAATGTGCGCATTGGTGCTTACACCATTGCGAAGACCATTGCGGCCACTACGGCAGCCAGAACTGAGCTGCTGCTGGTGAGCATAGAGCCAGCGCCGAGGAACTCCGCTGGAGATGTCGAGCTGGGCAAGCTGCTGTTAGCAGGTGGCGCCGAGATCAATGTCGTAGAGACGGGCGGTACGACAGGAGCAGGAGAAGAGTCCACCAAGAGACCTGAAGTCGTAGATGCTGCCGGAACGTAGACAGTCTCGGTCACGCTAGGTGTGCAGCTGCTTGTTGAAGAAGCGCGCGAGATGGTCACAGTCCTGGTCACGTTGCGGACGCAGCTAGCAGACGCGGCAGCGTTAGACTGACCAGCAGGCTTGTCTGAGGAAGATGGCTGAGAGCTCGCGGCCGATGTGCTTGTAACAACGACTACCGAAGAAACCACCACGGTTGAAGCAGGTGCTTGAACTGCTTCGGGAATCTTCGATGAGACCGATTCGGAAACCTCGCTAGACGGCGCCTCGCTGGATGGGATCTTGCTGGAGGCAGGGGCCTCGACAACTACGCTGGATGCTGAGGCAACTTCGCTAGTAGCAGGTACCTGGCTGGAGACAGAAGTAGCGGATGAAGGGGCGGGCGTCGAGCTGGACTCGGGGGTAGCGCTAGTCAATGGCTTCGGCGCGCTGTTGTTCTTCGCAGGAAGAGTACCCTTCTGGATCATCAGAAGAGCCTGAGTGACTTCCAAGGCTGACAGCTGTTGGCCGACACCAGAGGTTCCGTCCCAGCTTCCAGTGTACCACTTGCTACCGCATGTAGCGCCATCAGGGCCGCCAGAGCAGGACTTGGCAGCACCGACCGCAGAAGCCTTTAGGAATGGAACGATCTTTTCCTTGGTAAAGGGAGCTACCATTGCAGTCTTGGCAATGAAGCGCGAGAGGTATGCCTTGAAGGACTGTTGATCGAGATTGCAAGGGCGGTTATTCTCCCCTGTCTCGCAAGCCCACTCGTACATGATGTCCGTGGCGTTCTCGAAAGGTCGGAAGAACAGCAACTCGGCGTGGTCCAGGAAGCCTGAAGTACGCTCCTTCCAGGTGTCGTCGCCATTGGTGTAGTCGTACATAAAGGCTGATCCGTGAAGAAACATGGCGTTGTTGTAAGTCCACTGAGTCTCGTCTGCGACCTTGGCGCAGTTGGTCTTGTCGTCTGTCCCGTCGAACACCTCGTACTTGTCGGTAATGAGTCCAACCTTCTTTGTCCAGTCGTAGATCTTCACAGCCCAGTCGGCGTACTTTTGCTCACCAGTGTAGCGGGCAAGGCGTGCACCGAGCGCGAAAGCGCATCCATTGGAGATGGAGTTCTTGTAGTTGTAACCGTATGCGTTCTCGGGGTAGATCTGCCACTTGAGGCCTCCGTCGCAGGAAGTCTCATCCCAGCGGCCAACAATGTTCTCGAAGGCATTTGTTGCGACCTCGAGGTAGCTCGCGGGCGCCTGAGCAGGATCAGGGAACTGATACTCGAGCGCACTCATAACGGCAAGCGCCCAGAAAGCCTGGTCATCGTTGCCAGTTTGGCTCTTGCGGTAAGACAGGATGAAGTCGTTGTCGGGGCCATAGTTGGCAGTCAGAGCCTGCTGGAGGGTCTTGACGTGCGAATCGTCTCCCGAAAACTGGCTGTACTCTATCATGCCACCCCATGCCGCACCGCCTTCCCACCAGTAGTGGGGCTGGGGCCAGATGCCTATATCTTCCTTGGATACACCTGTGGCGTTGCCCTGGTACATCGACATCAGACCGTACGCATACTGCCGAGTAGCGCTGAGAATAGACGCTATTCAAGTCAGCTCCGGAATTGTAATCAGTAAAGATATCCTCACCCTCATCCTCCGGGTCAAGCTTGACACCGCCGGCGGTTGCAGTCAAAGTAGCAAGGAGCGCAGCTCCAGTAGTAAAGTACTTCATGTTGGTAGAGAAACGAATGGGTAGAGTTCAAAAGAAGGTAAGCGACTACAAGTCGAAAGAGAGAAAGGAAGGAAAGTAACGATTGTATACACCGCAGCTGCAGGCAGAATGTGAAGTGAGGGAAAAGCAGCCATAGTGAAGGACGGGGCTAGGCATTATCTACAGATCTGACTCGCGTGGACCCATTTCTTCGGTGAATGAAGTCGGGGGAGGAGCGCGCGGGTGAGAGCAGGGATTGGGTAAGCGGGCGTTTCGAAACGCAGGAACAGAATTAGTCGTAGCCAATAGCTGGCTAGCACGCGTGTTTCAGCGCGGCGGCTGGTTGCTTTTCTGGCCTTTGATCTTTTTGGCGCCTCTGTATATTGTCTGGGCGCCTTACCCTTCATATTTGGACTCGGTCGATCCCTTGTGCTCGCTGGCCGTGCAGCACAGGTGCTTTTGCTGTCGCTGTTTAGTCGCTAAGAAAAGACACGTCGCTTACCGTACTCTCACGACGAACGTCACAGCTAATCGCACCAGCATGCACTACCATAGAAGATCAGCTAGACGCGTACTTGTACCTGCATAGCTAGGGGATGATGTGGGGCTATTGTGGTGCCAAGACCGTGGGGATCGTCACAGGCAAAAGCAGCAGAAGAGATTGTTGAAGATGTAGGTCAAATTACAGACCCATGGTGTCGTTCATGAGGCGCAGTCTAGCCAAACCTCGCTCAGGATATGCCTCGGCCCGTCTAGCAATCATGCGCTGAGGCGTCTCGTCCCAGGTCTACCCAGAACGCCCCGAATGTGAATAGCACGCGAAAAGAACACAGCCACACAATTTACACCCCCACAAGTCTCTTCTCTTTCTTGTCCTTCTCCGATTCCCGTACCGCGGCCATCTCCTCCTTGGTCATATTGTAGGATCCAGTGACTTGGTTGAATGGGTTGTCGGGGTGCTTCTCGAACTCCTTGCGGATCTGGTCGATCTTCTGCTGTCGTCGCAAACCCTTCTCGTCCTTCATCTCCTCCAGTCTTCGCTCCTCAAACGCAGCGTATGCAGCCTTGAAGCGCCTCTCAGGGTGGCGATCCACCTTGTCTTGACTGTTGCCTGTGATGTCCAGAGCGTCGAGGGCGTTATCGATACCGGTGGCATTGAGAGCGCCAGGCTTCGCGTCGAAAGAGCCGAGCGCCGAGTCAATGCCGCGGGGCTTCTTCTCGGCTTTGGGGTTCTTGCCCTTGGGCTTTGAGGGTAGAGAAGCTTCTTCTTCGCGAAGCAGCGCTTCCTTTTCAGCCTTCTTACGGGCTGCTTCAGCGGCCTTTTCCGCTGCTGCCTCGCTGCGATCTGTTAGCTACTGCGCAGGTAGAGACAAAGGTGCAGCCTACGCTTTCGCATTCGACTTTGCGCCCTTGCTCCATTCCTCTGCCTCTGCCTTCTCGGCTTGTTGGTTCTTTGCAGCCTGCTTCGATGCGGCAGCGTCAGCCTTGCGTGCTTGTCCTTGTGCTTTCTTGGAGTTTTCGCCACCGCCAGCAGCGCCCTTTTTCGCCATTGTGTGGTAAGGTTACGAAGGCGTGTATGCGTTTGATTTGTATGGGGTGTAGCGCGAAGGTTCCGACCTGTGTTGTGCAGTTCAAAAGTGAGTCAAAGTTTGGTAGAATGCGGCCTGTGACAGCGGCCTGCGGGCAGCGGGGCAATGGCGTCAGACCACACCAACACCTGGGCACACGTGAATGACTAAGCATCAATACACCGTTCAGAGCGTTGCTTGCAAACTGATCCGTTTATTCACTCCACCAAGTCTGCAACGGCCTGCATGTGCCAAAGAGTCATACAGAATCTTCTTCTTTTCAGTATCTTTGTGTTGCTCGCATTACCGGGTATGAGTTGCTTTCCACTATGAACGGCAAAGTAAGGCATTAAGCTAGTTAACGCGACACCGAAACGATATCTAGTAGCCAGAAAGTATGTAGAGAGTCGTAAACCCTGGTTTGATTTCAAATACCTTGTCTAGATATCTGCATTCACTCTGGCCCTAGAGTAATGCGGGTTCTGTGGCGAAGTGAAGTACATAGCTGCGGAGATGACATTGCTTCGACTGCATGGGTAGGCGTTAGTTGGAACGTGAATGCCAAAATCGCTGACTGTATCGAACACTTTAAAGTATGCAGGCAACAGACGTACACAATTTAGATGAAATATTACTGATTGAGAAACTATGGAAACAGAACGTGACTCGCCGATGTTTATGCCATCATTGAGATCATGACCAGCATGAAGCCAGTATTTTGGACCAGCCGAAGCTAGTATCATGACCAGCACGAAGCTAGTATAAGGACCAGCAAAGCTAGTATAAGGACCAGAACAAGTCTAGTATAACAACCGCAGAGCAGTATAAGGACCAGCAGAGCTAGTATCAGGACTGCAGGAAAGGCAGTATCGTCCTATAGATCATGTGTCAATATATCGGGTCAATGTTGGTATGACATCTATTGGAACTTATCAGCGTTATCAGAGAGAAACTTACGCACCAACGCGATAGACTCTGTTTGTGTGGAAACAGTATTCTCGTAACTCTTTTGTCTTGCAGCGCTGTTCGTCGCGACTCTCTTCCAATTTTCTGTATCTTGTCGATAGTTGCGTTGTACCTCTGCTGCTGCTGTCTTGAGCCTGTCGAGCATGGACTTCAATTTCGCAATCTCTGTTTCGCGCTCGTTGAGTTTGGACTGAGCATCAACGATTAGCTTCTGAATAGTATCCTCGAGTGCTTGAATAGTATTTTTGCGTGCTTGAATGGTATTTGTGAGTGCTTGAACCTCCACAGTAAGCGTGTGTATGGTGTGCTTCGCGTTTTTGCGGTCTATAGCCAAAGTGTTGTTCCTCGCTGCCAGCTCATTGCGTTGCTCCATAAACTTGTCAGTGGCATCGCAAAGCGTATTCATCCGATTCGTGGTTCTTTCCACAATCGCGTCCGCAATTTTTCTATCGGGTGGACTTGCTATGTCCTGTTCGAAAGCTTCGTCCTTGTAATCGTCAGGTTGCAACTCGAACATCTTATTCATATTGGCGATTGCTCTGCGACGGCCTTGTTCACTGCCAGAGGCAGAGTTCTTGGCAAATTCGATGTCCCTCTTCGAACTTTGTTCGAGTGTAGAATGCTTCTCTCGCAATTGCTTGTTGTCCTGTTCCAATGCTAGCCTCTCCATATTCCAAGTCGACTTCTCTTCAGCGAGTTGGCTGGCACTTAGCATGTTCTCAGTTCCTGCCCAAGTCTGTTTCCGAGTTCTGAGTTCTGTGGCCGCTGTCGAGAGTTTTTCTTCTAGTGCCAGCTTTGCCGCTTCCCAAGTAAACTCATTCCTAATGCGTGCCATTTTCTCGTCAGATCTCTCAGCATTAAGGCATTGTTCAGTCTCTTTCCAGGTCCGCTTCTCAGAGTCGAACTGCTGTTCTAATTTCAGCTTCTCTGCTTCCCAAGCCACTTCGTCTTTGAAGCGTGCTATTTTCTCCTCGAACTTCTCAGCATTGAGGCGCTATTCGGCCTCTCTCCAGCGTGCCCTCTCGCTATCGAGTTTCTCGACCGCAGCAATTGCTTCTGTCTCTGACTTGGTGGCTGCATACTCAAGTCGCTGTTTTTCCAACCTCCATGTAGCGCTATCTTTGCTGTATTCGGGAGCTACGTTGCCAGTATTTGTCTCTAATGTCCTAATTCGAGCTTCGAGTTGTTCCTTCTCTGACTTCCACGCGTTTCTGTTGTTCTCGTGTTTGACAGCTGCATTGAGGGCGTTTGTCTTCAGCGTGTTGATCTGGGTATCGAGTTGTTCTTTCTCTAACTTCCACGCATTGCTGTCGTTCTCGTATTGGGCAGCGGCTTTGGACGCGTTCGTCTGCAGCGCGTTGATCTGAATATCGAGTTTTGCCTTGTCCGACTTCACGGATTAGCTGGCATTCAAATGACTTCAACGGCTCCTTACCTTGGACTGCTCGAATTCAGCGCTGAAACTCTTGGCACCATTTTCTGCGGCTTTCTTCGGCTCTACGGCTGAATTGACCTGGTTGAGGAGTTCCTTGTTATCGGCTTCCAGTTTCTCACAACGGTCTGCCAATGGTTAGCCAGGGTGTTCTCACAGCATGGAGCTTGAACGTACTCCGCATCTCGTCATATTCCACTACCCAGGCAGTGGCGTCATTGATGAACTTGTATGCTTCTTCACGCTCGTCTCGATTTCTCATGCATTCTCTCAATTCATCTTCCAGTTCTTCTTCCTCATTTTCTAGTTCGCGGAGCTCGGGATCGACTGATTGTGCATCCTCGTCTTCGCTCTCGTCGTCAGTTTCGTACAAATTGTGTAGGTTTTTGCTTTGCACTATGTGTGCAAGATGGTTATAATCGTACTCGGTCGCATAGTCAGTGTCTGATTCATCCGACATGCTGTTGGTAGAGAGAAGGATGATGCGCGCGGGCGGGCGAATATAGGTTCGTGGGCGCTAGGCCACTGTGAGGTCCAACGATGGCAGCCACGATCAGAGGCCGCGACTACCTCAACAACGGTCGCGTTGCATCGAGCGCAGAACACCACACATCGCGAAATGCGCATATTCACGCCACCTGCAACACTATATACGGGATATGTCTTGCAAATGAGGTTAGTTAGAAGAAGTTGTAGCAACACTGTAAGCATCCACGGGTGTCTATATTAGTAGCGTATTGAAGTGAAACGGTGCGGATTCTCTAGAGACAGGTTTCTACGAAGTATATCTTTGACCGAAACCCTCAATCAAGTAGTATGTCCAGTCAACATTAAGCCGCCTGCTTATGACCAAAACGAGCGGTATCAAGAGTACCTGGGTAGATATATCCAGTTTCATGACTGATTGACATTCTTTCTGCTGTGGCCATTGGTAAGAAATGTTATACTGTTCTCGCTGTTTTCACGTGACGCCTTTTACGAACAGAAAGGCACCAAGCACCGGCGTGGTGGCAAGAGATAGTGCTCATACAGCTCTTCCAAGGATATGTGGCCCTTTGGCAGTGTCCCCTGGTACGCTCTATGTGGCGAGCCTCCGTTCAGAGGTACCGCAGATTCCACCGGCAAAGCCATGTTCAACAATATCGTCGGAACTCGTAAGGTTCAGAATCGTGCGCATACAAAGGCTAAAGGCAAGCTCAAAGGCCATCAGCGCGGCTACGAAGAGGGCTATGCTCAGGGAAAATTGGAAGAGAACGAACGAGCCTGTAGCATGGGAATGATGAACGCCCGACAGGAACATCAGCTCAGACTTATTGAAGCAAAGCGCGAGTCACGCGATCCCGGTCGCTGCTGGGTATCCGCGAGTCAATGAGGTTGGTTGTGGTGCAACCTGATGTTCAATACGTGTTTATTTGAATAGGTTCATTGAAATTCTCTCATCGCTCCATGATCTTCGAATCTCCGTTGCTTCATGATCTATTGAATGCCTCTTAGCTAGGCTTGTGTCTGCGCGTCTGCGCGTCTGCATGATCTACATTACAAGAAACGAGCAGCTCGGAACAAGACGGCGATTTACACAATACCTTCCTCTTTTTCTCTCCTTATGTGCTCTCTTCTCGCTCGCATCGCGTTCCAAGGCGTGAGCTGCTTCAAGCCCAACCACGGCGAATTGATGGGACTAGGCCCTGTATATATGAATATGTCATAAAGGAAGCCACCAAACGCACAGCCAAGGAAGGGTGCCACCATCGGGATCTACATGAGTTAGCAGATGTTATTGATATCGTCAGAAGACGTACCCAGAAGTAGTAGCCGCCAGCGGACCACACCTCATGACCGTAGCCAATAGCATACGACATCAGTCTTGGGCTGAAGTCACGAGCAATATTAATCGCATAGCCAGTCTGCCAGCCAAAGCAGGATCCGAGGCCGAAGATTAGGAAGAACAAACAAAGAGGAAACCATTTATCGGACTGTATGATGGTCAGCATCGTCACACGTTACTGCTGTCTGTCGTACCTTTGGGACACCGTTGTTGCTCGGGTCTTTCAATGCGAATATGACAAACATCAGCAATGTACTTGCGATGAACTCTGAGAAGAACTGGCTTGTCTTTGTAAGGAATGGCTGTGGGTAGGTGCAGAATATTGCTGCTGTAGCCTTCTCGGCAGGAGGCACTGTTCGCATCTTTCCACCTTCAAACCAGTCGATAGAACTGATGTAGTTTGCGTATACGATACCGGACCCAACGAAACCACCCAGCATCTGCGCAGCGAAGTACATTGGGAACCGCCGCCATGGCAACTGGCGGTATATGCAGTTGCTGAGGGTAATGGCAGGGTTAAGATACGCCCCGGAGTCGCCTGCCACGTACAGTCCAAGCATGACGCCTAGGCCCCAGCTGCTTGTTGTTAGTATGCTTTGCCATCTTTCCACAAGTCAGCACTCAACTCACCCCCAATTTATCGACTGATACTGCCCGAAGCCGTTACCTCCTGGGGCAGTAGTCTGACCAGCTGATAACAGAACCTGCGCAACCGCTCCATCGCCGAACATCACCATAATGGCAGTACCCCAGAATTCAGCAAATGGCTCCCTCATCACTGTCCTTATACGCGACCATAGCAACTCAGACGCTGCCCCATGATCATGCTCCTCATCTATAGGTGCCTGAGGATGCAAGCCGAGTACCGATCGCTTTCGTTGAGCGCTCGACGATGTTCGATTAGGCGAGAGCTCTGAGTTGGTGGAATGCGCCGAATACTGTGTCGGCGCCTGAGTCAGAGGTGTAGCGCTCGTTCCAGACGTGATGCTATCTAGGCGGTTCTCAGAATGATCGTCTGCCCAGTCGCGTGTGATTGACGGCCCTGGAGCCATTGGTCCTCGAGTGGTCATAATGGAACGACGTCAAATGCAACACTAGATGAAGATAGACTAACACAAAAGCCCCTCGGCCTCGACAACGGTACCAAGGTGAGAAAAGTGCTAGCAGATGCACACAAAGAGCCTACTCAGCGGACCATGACTGCTTAAGCACCTCGTTCCATACCCGCGGCTCCTATGCTAGAAGACGTCACAGCATAATCCCTCATCGCAATGGCAACGCCATTGGAAGATGACCTCGTACTTCCCCTCATTAAAATAGTGAGATCTCCAGCTCGGGGTACGATGCCGCGCGCCGTCAGCTTGGGACGTAACTGTTGTGCGCCAGGAATGACGTCTGTCAAGCCTCGGGGCGTTATTTCCGTAAGCAAGAAAGCGGAAACTTATCCCTTCACTGAACTGGATGTTGATGAGGTTGATTTGTGATGACTCGAGAGAGGATTTGCAAGTATAGTAATACAACGGATGTTATAATCACTGATTTGGTACTCTGTTATTCCCGATGGTCGAAGTGTGGGGTGCTTTTGTGGGTTTTCTGGGGTGCGTCGGCGATCGCGATGCCCAGTTAGCGCCACTACATCAAAGAGAAACTAAACACCTCTTAGAGCAGAGTATTTCTTCCTACTACAGTAAAGCGCATTAGACCTATATAGATATAAATAGAAAGCCTAGAAGACTGCAATGCTAGTAATCTTTGTAAGTTTTCTTATCAGGAGACAATATAGACTGTAAGATATACTTTATTATTGCTGTATCTGTCACCAAGTGATAGTATATCGTATGATACCTGGGAGGTAGTCGCCTTCTCTCATTCTATTTAAGGCCAGGTAATCAGACTGAGTCGACGAACGTCCCTACAAATGAGGTACCTCTAAGCTTGCCAGTAACAAGTTCACGATACTAAACAGTCCTTCGCCAAGGATCAACCCACTTGCAAGCACGATGATAGGTGTCTCGCTTCTACCCTTCCATCGCCGCCACCATAGACTGAGCAGGCCGCCTATTGTACGCGCCAACGTGAAAGATGGAGTGTTGTACATGCCTGCACGATGAGTTAGTTGGTGAAATGTTGGAAGGGGGGTGACAAGTCATACCAACAGCGACGGCGATCCCACCAGGCACAAAGTCGATCCACCATCCACTCAAACCCCTCTGCTTTCTGTTGTTACCCCAGACTCTGATCATCGTACCTACGGCGAATATGACAGCCGCTCCACTAGCCCATTCCTTGACCATTGGCGGTAAGCCCTTGCCTGTCACCAATCGCGCAGTAAAGACCCACACGTAACCCGTCGGCACTTCGAACAGGCCACCGGGGATGGTGTATACGTTTGTGTACAGCTTGTATACAACAGCAGATAACACCGCACCGAATGCTGAACCGATCATCTGGCCCCAAAACTGCGCATTCGGCGCTGCGCCTAGCAGATGACCACACTTGAGATCCTGTAGTAGATCGCCTGCTTGTAGTGCAGCAGACTCGGAGATGGCGCCTGCAACAAGGTTGATAATGACCGCATTCTTGGCACCAGGCCCAGTGGTGGGCGTGACGAGCGCGAAGACGAGTTGAGTGAGCTTCGAGATACCAGAAACGGGGTTCAAATCTGTTTCGCCAAGTGCGCGGACGCCCATGATGGATAGGACGAGCGCAAGTACGAGCGATAGCAGGGTAAGCCGGAAGGGAATGAGGCCTGGGAATGATATGTGCACAGCAGCGACGCAAAGAACTAGCGAAGCAATTAGACCGATGATAGTGGTACGGTTCGAAACAAGATGCTCAGGCGGGGCATCCGGCTCGGCACCTTCAGCGAGATGTTGCTTGATCGCTGCCAACGGGTTCGCTGACGTGCCATCGCTGAGCTGAGTGTACTGTGGCTTGGATGTGATGTTCAGCGTGAATATCTCTTTCCAAGTATGCGATTGGAAATTTTCTTTTGCAGTAGGGTAATAAGCTCTTGCGACTGTGATGACGGGACGCAAAAGGAGCCACCCCAGGCTAACAAGGGAGTCCGCAAGCATAATGGCAAGAGATATCCAGACTATCCAGCCTTTTGATCCGTTTGTCCAGTCTGACACCGGCCCTGGAGCCCATTCTTTGTGCTTGGCAAGTGGTGAAAGGATGCCCCAGCCTATGATGGCACCGAGGAGCATATGAAGCGTCGTAGCAGGACCCATGATGATACCCTGACCCACGTACGCAGGCGAAGGGTTCAAAGTCCAGAGCCAGTTCTGCGCCAAGGGAAGACCGAAAACGGGTATGTCGTGGAGTTGCGGGATGAAGTACGATACGACAGTATATAGTGCGGATCCGCCAAAAGAGATGAGCAGCAACCTGATCTTAGATCTCCAGTCCCCATCTTCTCCAAGCTCTTGGTCTGGATCCTTCATGCTGTCGTCCATGGACGGCCTAAGATCATGCTCTTCCCGCTGCGCGCTTGAACCTTGTAATAGGCCCTGTGCCTCCTCTCCTTCATCGGACTGGTCATCCCTATCTTGAATCCCTTCGCGTACCATCATCGTCTTGGACTTTTCATCTCCATGGAGCACCTTGATCAGGAGAGCAGTCGCAGTCCCACTCGGGAACTTTAGCTTCTCTCGGATGATCATCTCTTTCCGCAGTGGTACCGCAAACACAACACCAAAGAAGCAGATGCCCACAGACCACACGATCAGCTTCCATAGACTTATATCCAGAGGTCCGTTTTCCTCAGGTTTCAACAGGTAGTTCAGGGCAGGAATTACTCCTACGAATCCACATCCGAGTGGCATGGTGCCGACCGATCCCGCAACTGATTGAACCAGAACATTCTCAACCGGCGTAAACGGCAACTTGAGTGTCTTTGCAACGACCTTGAAGTATGCGAATCCGATCAGAGCAGAAGGCATAGCCATGCCAGAAACCCAACCAGTCTGCAATCCAAAGTACATATTCGAGAAGCAAATCACCACACCAATCGCCAAGCCTACCAAAACACCTCGAAGCGTAAAATTCTGTGGCTGCGACGCCTGTTCAGCCAGGTACTTGCGGGCTCCCGACCTGCTGCGGCCGAGGGCATGATCATCCGTCTCTTCACCATGCCCTCCTCTTTCATTTTCCAACGATGCGGATCCCCGGTCTGGTGCCATCCTCGAGATATTCTGGAGCTGAATCGACTCAGCCAGCGTGCGGACTAGGAAGCATTCAAGAAGAGAAGAAGAAGATCAGGATGTCCAGATAGGAAGATAACGGAGCCCTGACATGGAATGGCGTGCTTGAGCATGTGCACGCGATGATGCAAGGTGATCGGCTAGCGTGCAAAGCTCCACACGTGATAGCCGGATATCATTGGCGGAGTGATTGCTTATCTCCGATTTGTCAGATGGCCAACACTCTAACGTGCATCGCGGACTGCTAGACTAGGGGCGCGTCGCGGCTCCGCATACCACTCCAAGCACTGTGCAAACCTTCCAGGGATCTACTATCAATACCGACTTCGCGATGAAGTTCTC